GAGGGACGAGGGCGCGCGTGCATTCGTCGTCACTGTCGTCCAGCTCATCAAGATGTTTCTCGCTGACGTTGTTAGGCGAGCCAAGGAGGAGAAGGAGAAGGAGGGGAAGGAGAAGGAGAAGGATGGAGGAAAAGGGGAGGGGAAGGAGAAGGAGAAGGATGGAGGGAAAAGAGGGAGGAGGGGGGAAGGAGAAGGAGAAGGATGGAGGAAAAGGGGAGGAGGGGAAGGAGAAGGAGAAGGATGAGGAAAAGGGGAGGAGGGGAAGGAGAAGAGAAGGATGGAGGAAAAGGGAGGAGGGGAAAGGAGGGCAGAGAGGCAAGGATGGGAAGGGCAGAGTAGCGAAGGGTTAAAGGACGGGCGAAGAGCAAGGGAGGAGACGGAGGAGAGAAGGAGAAGGGGGATGAGGGAGGGAAGGGGGTGTGGGGGAGACGGAAGAGGTGAAAGGTGGGGAGGAAGGGGAGGGAGAGGAGAGGAAGGAGGGAAAGGAGGGGGAGGGTGATACAGAGATGGTGGTGCAGAGACGGGAGGAAGGAGAGCAGGGGCTGGAGGCGAGGAGTTGGAGAAGAGGACGAGGAGGACGCTGAGGGAGCAAAGGTGGTGTGAGGTGGTGAGGGTAGTGCGTGGTAATGAGGGTAGTGCGTGGTAATGAGTGGTAGTGCGTGGTAATGAGTGGTAGTGCGTGGTAATGAGTGGTAGTGCGTGGTAATGAGTGGTAGTGCGTGGTAATGAGTGGTAGTGCGTGCTAGTGTGTGTTAGTGCATGCTCGTGTGTGCGTGTGCTTCTCGGTGTGTTGGTGTATCATGCCTTGCCTCCCCTGTTAACTCTGACAAAGACGTGTCAAAGAAGCACCGCCCTCCCAATGCAGGCAGGCCTGTCCCAACTCCCCCAACCACCACCCTCTCCCTCCCTCGCCCCACACGCACCCACCAGCCAATATTCATGATCAATAGAGGGACAGGGGCACCCCAAAAAGCTTATCATGGGCCGAGGCGGGGTGCACGGTGGTGGTAGGAGTGGTGGCAGGGAAACAGCTCGTGGTGGCGAATGCGGGCGACTCGCGGTGTGTGGTGAGCCGCGGAGGCGAGGCGGTGGAGATGGCTCGAGACCACAAGCCCCTCTTCCTCCATCCCATACCTTCCCAATCCCCCCACCACACCACCCCCCCCCCCCCCCCCCCCCCCCCCCCCCCCCCCATGCACACCACCAGCCAATCTTTATGGTCAAGAAAAACGAACACCCAGAAGGCCTATCGGGGCCCCGAGGCGGATGCACGGCGGGTGGTAGCACGTGGTGGCGGTGGAGGCAGCTGGTGGTGGCGAATGCGGGCGACTCGCGGTGTGTGGTGAGCCGGGGAGGAGAGGCGGTGCGAGATGGTCGCGAGATCACAAGCCACCGTGCCGGAGGAGCGCAGGAGCAGAATTGAGCAGTCGGGGAAGTTCGTCTGTCGGACGGCCGGATAGACGGCTGCCTCAACCTCTCCCGTGCCCTATGTAAACCCTTCCCACACCGCCCTGCACGCGCCCCCCCTCCTCCCTCCCCGCCCTCTTCCCCTCCTCGTCCTCCTTTGCTTAGATCGAGCAGGCGCATTGAGCAGGCGTGGAATGTATTATAACCTATAAACACGCGCATGTGTGTGCGTGTGTGTGTGAATTCCTATGGGTGAGCAGGGGACATGGAGTACAAGCACAGGCCTGATCTACCTCCAGAGAAGCAGGCAGTCACGGCATTGCCTGAAGTCAATCGGTAAACCCCTCCAGCGCTTCTGCAGTAGCGATCAACTCGTAACCCCCTGCTATCAAGTCAGTTCTATCTCAAATCATAGACACGAACTTCTTACTGAAAGCATTTTTCCAGAGGCACATTTGGTAATTGCTCTACCAGAAATTACACTTACTATGCTCCTGATGGCTCCCCTTACATGCGTTTCCCCCAATCCATGTATCCCCATCCCTGCATCTCGTCCCATGCCTGTCGCCCCACAAATGTAAACCCTTCCGCAATCCGCATTTGTGGTTTCCATACCGCCCTGTTCTGTCATGCAGGTTGATTTATCGGATAAAGACGAGTTCATTGTGCTTGCATGCGATGGCATCTGGTAAGTTTCTTTCCTTACACCCACTCGGGCGTGTGCCAGCTCAAACGGTTAAGCCTCAGAGGTCCCGTTATGTCCAGTGCTCAATGCAATTTTCTTTCTCTCATCTATCCAACCACCCGCCGCCCGCCTGCCCTGCCTGCTTGCCCTGCCTGCCCGCCTGCCTACCCGCACTGCCCGCCCGCCTGCCTGCCCACCCGCATGTTGCTTGCGTGGCTTCCTGCTTGCAGGGACGTGATGTCAAGCCAAGCCGTGGTCACGTTTGTGCGGATCAAGGCTGGCGAAAGAGGTGAGGGTGACGCGTGGAGGCGTGTGCAGGGAGGAGGAGGAGGGAGGGAGACCCCAGGAACCTCACGTATGGTATCATTAAGACTCATGATTCATCATGCATTTGGTTCAATTCCTCTTGTGTTTGGTTTTGGCCCTCCCAAGGGCATACACTCACCACCTAATCACTTGGTCTCTCATCACTCATTACTTAATCACTCATCACTCATTGTGCCGGCCGGCTCTGCAAATCCTGTTCTTCCTTTCCTCTCTTTTCCCTTTCAGGTTCTTCTAACCGACGTGTATGCACAGCTCATGGGCGCATGCATGATCTCATCTCCTCACAAAATCACCTTGCCTTGCCTCTTGACTTTGCCCCTCCAGGTGCTTCTAACCGACATATGTGCACAGCTCATGGATGAATGCATTGCTAAGGATGCGCACTCATCGCCTCTCGGCCTGGACAACATGACAGTCATCATCGCACAGCTCAAACCCACCATGTGGCAATCCCCTCCTTTGCCTCCCAAAGAATCCTGCGAGGCCTCTTTCACCTTTGACAAACCGACACATTAGTCTCAAGCACGCACTCGTCTTGTCGCATCTAGGCCTGACAACATGGCAGTCATCATTCCCAACTGAACCCGCCATGTGGCAATCACCTTAGGTACCCAACACTGCGGCCTCCTCGCACTAGGCCTCAATCAAGCGGTCACTCTTTCATCGCATCTTAGCCCTGACAACATGACAGGCGTTCTTCTCACACTGCGAAACCCGCCCAAACCTGTCTTTTGACAATATCTGTAGCCAGTTATGTGGTAGAAAGCAGATATAAAGTGCTTTACCCATCAGTTTTTGCTGTAAGGAACTGGGAACATCATTTTGCATTTAGTGCCACGAGTTATGGCAGTTAAAAACTGTGAATCGAGTGATAGTTCAAGCTGCAAGCATTTATCTGTACAACTAAACATACACAGAGGCCATCTCGGATATACGTACTCTGCTCCTCATAAGAGCCTCTTATCAACTCTTGGGGCACTTCCCTGTGTTACTGCAACAATTGTTACATGTTACATGTCACAGAGCTTAAATCAGGTTACCACCAGCTCCAGGCTCCAGCGCTTGTCGTGGCATCTACTATTCTGGATATTTGATGTGTTATGCTCCGCTCCGCACTCCATGTACCATGGAGGTACATTGACTCATGGAGCATCAACTCCTGTCTCGTCATCAACTCATGTCTTGTGATCGCCCAGTGCTCACCTCACGTGATGGTCCAGCTCTTGTGTCGGGAGAATGCGAGGAAGGTGGGGAAGGTGGGGAAGGTGGGGAAGGTGGGGAAGGTGGGGAAGGTGAGGAAGGTGGGGAAGGTGGGGAAGGCGAGGAAGGTGAGGAAGGAGAGGACGGTGAAGAGGATTATTTTTAGGTGCCTCCCAAAATGAGGAAGGTAAAGAGGAACGTCAGGAGAAAGGTCAATGTGTTCATGATTATCAGTGCTCACGTCAAGTGATGGTCCAATTCTTGTATCGGAAGAATGCGAGGAAGGCGAGGAAGATGAGGACACCGCCCACACCCGAGTCAATGAGGATCCACTTGAGGGCCGACGGGTCCTCCTCCAGGCCCAAAGGCACGTTCATCCCAAACGTGCCCGCTATCACCCCCCACAGCGCCACCACGAACCCTGCCATTGCGTTTTGTCCGCGGTAATAGAAGCAGGAAAGAGACCGGGGGAGAAGCAGGAAAGAGATGTGGGGAGCAGGAAGTTTGAGTATCAGGACGGGCACAAGAGACGGTGCTTGACTAAAGGTGTCGTCCCCGCACCGCCCACACCCGAGTCAATGAGGATCCACTTGAGGGCGGATGGGTCCTCCTCCAATCCCAGCGGCACGTTCATCCCAATCACCCCCCACAGCACCACCCTCGAACCCTGCCAATGGATGGGAAGAAGTAGATAGGTGGGATTGCAGGGGGCAGCAGGAAACAGGTGTGGGGAGAGAAGGAGGGAGTGGTGAGTGTTTGCACAGGCCTGGGACTGTGCTTGAGTCAACATGACCTTCCTGCACTGCCCACCCACCCTCCTCTCCAGTCCAGAGACACAATCACCCCCCCCAGCCCCACCACAAACCCTGCCAGAAAGTTGTGGGAGGCAGGAAAGAGGGAGAGTGGGTAGAGGGAAGCGGTGTGGGGAGAGGCAAGGGAGGGAGACTGTTTCACCTCAACCTGCTCACCTTGAGTTGCTCGTGTAGCACAGAGCGATACACACATCCCGTTTAAGCGGTGATGCCGAAACTCACCAGTGGACAGGAACCATACACCCATCAACAGAAACCAGACACTCAGCAGCAGCAGCAGCAGCAGCAGCAGCAGCAGCAGCCACACACTCATTCACGCACCAGCGGTGGTCATGATGAGTTCGAATTGAATGAGCTGATTGCGAACATTATCCAGCTGAATATTAATGAAATCCTCCGTGTCATCAATGTATTGCGACAGCTGCGTCAGCTTGTTCAGCGTGCCATCAATCACCACAAAGTATGCCTCCAGCAGCATTTCTAGTTCCTCCACGTTCTCCACACTTGTCGCCGTGCTGTCACTGGCGCTGTGCGCACCGCTCCAGAAGCTGATGGACGGCGGCGCTCCACCCAAGCCGGACGGCCGACCGTCGAGGTAGTGGCTTCCCTGTGGTTGAATGTGGGAAGGAGAGGAGAGGGGAAACGGGAAGAAGGAGGGGGTGGGGGTCAGCTTGTCCAGCATGCCATCAATCACCACAAAGTATGCCTCCAGCAACATCTCTAGTTCCTCAACGTTTTCCACGCTCGTTTGCCGTGCTGTCACTTGCACCCATCCCCGACGGCTGACCGTCTAAGTAGTGCCTTTCCTGGTAGTTGTTGAAGGGGGGTTGGTGGGAGGCGAGGCGAGGAGTCTGAGAAGTCGCAAAGGAATGCCCCTCCGCAATAGGTTGTGAGTGTGGGGTTGGGGGATGGGAAGAAGAGTGTACCATCAATCACAACATGGTATGCCTCCAGCAGCATCTCTAGCTCCTCCACGCTTTCGACACTTGTCTCCACTCCGTGCTGTCACTCGCGCTGTGCGTGCCAGTCCAGAAGCTGATTGGCGGAGCAGGGCCCAAGCCTGACAGCCGGCCGTCCAAGTAGCGGCTTCCCTGTGATCCGTTGTAGGCGGGGGGAGGATGGAAAAGGAAAGGTTTGATTTGATTTGATCTGTAGGCACACGCTCGGATTAACTAAAGATCAAACTTTTAAGACCAACTCCTTGGGGATGTGTGAGTGCAAGCGAGAGGGGTCATTTTTCAGGCTCGAGAGAACCAAAAGTCGCCGGTGTCGCACTGCGGCCGGGCTCCCATCCGCTCTCAATCCTCCTGTCCCTCTCAACCCACACTCCCTCGAAGTGTGCGAGTGCGAGTGGTGGCTGACAATCACTGCAACAAGCAGCAGACGCACATGTTTCGTGGGCGAGCCAGCTGCAGAGACGTTTGAAGGGCCTTTTGAGACCTTTTGAGGCCTTTTGAGGCCTGTTGAGGCCTTTTGAGGCCTTTTGAGGCCGTGGGCACACCTGCCGTGGGTGGGCGAGGTGAAGCAAGGTTGTTTTTGAGACGTCTCAAAAACGAGCCAGCTGCAGAGACGTTTCAAGGGCCTTTTGAGGCGCACACGTGCCGTGGGTGGGCGAGCCAGCTGGGGAGACAGGGGCTGAAATGGCCGACCCCAACCCAGCCCCCAACGTACTCTCTCAGGGCGCGCGAGAGCAATCCAAGCGCAGCGGTCGCTGCAGTCGTCATGATGTGGGCCCGGCCGCCTACTCTCAATCCCCCTCTCTTCTCTGATCGAACTCACATGTTTGGTTGGAGAACCAGCTGCGGAGACAGGTGCAGAGATTGAAGACCCAACCCCTCCAAGGGACTCCCTCGGAATGTGCGAGTGGTCACTGCCGTCGTCGCGGTGCGCCCCCCCTCGCTCACTCTCGCTGCGCTCCTCTGCTTCTGTCCCTCGTACCAACCCGCCATGTTTGCCAAACCTACATGCTAGCCAAGCCTACAAATAAGCCAAACCTACATGCTAGCCAAGCCTACAGATAAGCCAAACCTACATGCTAGCCAAGCCTACAAATAAGCCAAACCTACATGTTTGGTTGGAGAGCCAGCTGGCGACACAGGAGCAGAAATGGACGATCCGAACCCCCCAAGGGACTCCCTCGGAGTGTGCGAGTGGTCGCTGCCGTCATCCCGGTGCCCCCCCTAATCGCTCGCTCTCACTGCGCTCCTCTGCCAGCAGGCGCTTCTGGGTGAGGTACATCTCCGCCATGTCCCCATCGTCGTCCATCAGTTGCTCTATCTCGTCCCTCACCTTCCAGAGGGGTTCACAGGCGGTGAGCAGGGGTGAGAAGGGGTGAGAGGGGGTGGGATGGGGTGACAATGCGCTTCTGGGTGAGGTACATCTCCGCCATGTCTCCATCGTCGTTCATCAGTTGCTCTTTCTCGTCCCTCACCTTCCAGAGGGGTTCACAGGCGGTGAGCAGGGGTGAGAGGGATTAAGAGGAGGTGATAAAGAGGACAGGGGGTGATAGGGGGTGGGAGGGGGTCACAATAGGCTTCTGGGTGAGGTACATCTCTGCCATGTCCCTGTCGTCGTCCATCAGCTGCTCTATCTCGTCCCTCACCTAAAGGCGGCGACAGGGGGTGGTCACAGGTGGTAGCAAAAGGAGTAACAGCGGGTAAGAAGGGGTGCGAACGGGTGAGAAGGGGTGAGAGAAATGACAGTGTGCTTCTGGGTGAGGTACATCTCTGCCATGTCCCCACCGTCGTCCATCAGTTGCTCTATCTCGTCCCTCATCTCCCCAGGGGGTGACAGGGGGTGGCCACAGATAGGTGGTAGTAACAGGGGTGACAGGGGGTGAGAAGGGGTGCGAAGGTGTGAGAAGGGGTGCGAAGGGGTGAGAAGGGGTGACAATGGGCTTCTGAGTGAGGCACATCTCTGCCGTGTCACCATCGTCGTCCATCAGCTGCTCTATCTCGTCCCTCACCTTGCCTAGGTGGGGTAGGTGGGGCCAGCAGTGAGTGGCAGGGCAGGGAGGGATGACAGGGGTGGAGGTAACAAAGGGTAATTCGCATGCGCACAGGCAGGAGGAGTGCGAGAGAGTGCGAAAACAATACCTTCTGCACATGTGAATGTGGCAGAGGGGACGGGAAGGTGGAGGAGAGGGTGGGGGATGATACATTCTGCACTTTTGAGGCGCCTCAAAACATGAGACGACTTTTGAGACGCCTCAAAACATGAGACGAATTTTGAGGCGCCTCAAAAGGGGACGGGAAGGTGGAGAGGGTGGGGGATGACACATTCTGCACGCGTGAATGTGGCATAGAGAGGGGCGGGAGGGGGCGAAAGGTGATACCTTCTGCACGCGACGAGAGAGGCCCAGCAGGCGCTGACGGCGAAAGATGCAGAGCACCAACTCGAGAGGGGAGGGAAGGAGGGCGGTCAGCCACACCTTTTTTGAGGCGTCTCAAAAAGAGGGGAGGGAAGGAGGGGGGTCAGCCACACCTTTTTTGCACACGGCGGGGTGAGGGAAAGGTGATACCTTTTGCTCACGCGTTGGGGAGAGCGGGAGGTGTTACCTTCTGCACGCGGCGAGTGAGGCCCAGCAGAATGCTCTTGATTCGCCGCACCAACTCGAGAGGGGAGAGGGCAGCAGGAGGGTGAGCAAAGCAATACCTTTTGCGCACACCCATTTGTGGGTGGAAAAAAACCCTTTGCCCCAAGGCAGGGGAGAGGGCGGGGGATGGTACCTTTTGCACGCGGCGGGTGAGGCCCAGCAGGATGCGCTTGATTCGCCGCAAGTGCTCCAGAGGGGAGGGCAGGAGGGAGGGGAAACCTGCCTTGTGCGAGTGCCAGTGGGGGGGACGGGGGCAGAAGAGTAGGGTGGTACCTTTTGCACGCGACGGGTGAGGCCCAGCAGGCTGCTCTTGATGCGCCGCACGAGCTCCAGGTTGGTTGTACTGATCTGAAACGCAAGACGCTCCAATAGCGGATACGCTTCCTGTGCTAGCTCCTGCGCCTGTGGACGGGAAGTCAGGCGGGGGGGGTTGAGTTGCACACACGCACATTCACACACATACACACATATGCACAGACATGCACGCACGCTTCCTTATCCATTTTTCTTTCCAGGGAAGATGAGCGCAGCTGCACTTGTGGTATTTTGATATTCTCAAGAATCTGACCTGTCGATCGAGGCCCGAGCAGGAAAGCTCGAGGGCAAGCTCAAGAGCCTTAAACTCGAAGGGCAAGTCGTCCTCCTCTGCTGTGCTGCCCGATCCGCTGAACATGTCCTCACTGCTGATCTCGCGTCTGGGAAAGGGGTGGAGAGGGGTGAAAAGCGGTGAGGAGAGGTGAAGAAAGAGAGGAGAGCTCTAAACTCGAAGGGCAAGTCGTCCTCCTCTGCTGTGCTGCCCGACCCGCTGAACATGTCCTCACTGCTGATCTCGCGTATGGAAAAGGTGGAGAACGGTGGAAAGCGGTGCAGAGCGGTGAAGCGCAGTGAAAAGCGGTGATGAGCGGTGAAGAGCAAAGGGGAGCAGGATAAGAGATAAAGGATACACACATTGAATCACACCAGCCCGCGCTGGTCTGCGCTGCTTACCAACCAAGCTGGCTAAGCATAGCGGAACACCACGTATGGACTGCTCTGCTCTGCTCTGCTCTGCTCTGCTCTCGCACGAGCATCCAGAAAGCCTGTCCTTCCTCACCACCGAATAGATTTCTGAGGCGCCCCAAAAACCAGGCATGCACTGCTCTGCTCTACTCACTTCTATCAGGCATGCACTGCTCTGCTCTACTCACTTCTATCAGGTATGCACTGCTCTGCTCTACTCACTTCTATCAGGCATGCACTGCTCTGCTCTACTCACTTCTATCAGGTATGCACTGCTCTGCTCTACTCACTTCTATCAGGTATGCACTGCTCTGCTCTACTCACTTCTATCAGGTATGCACTGCTCTGCTCTCGCACGAGCATCTAGACCGCTTGTCCTTCCTCACCTCTGAATGCTGGCGTTTGGAGCATCCAGTGTGAAGCCATTCTCGCCTTTTGAGGCGCCTCTTGGTAGCCAGAACAACCGCTCTACCAGAAACCACGCTCGCCCTCACCTCTGAATGCTGGCGTTTGGAGCATCCAGTGTGAAGCCATTCTCTCCTGGTCTCTCCGTTCTGGAGCACAGGCAAGAGCACGATAGATAGAGTGACATGATGAGGCGTGGAAGTGGAAGGTGGGGAGAAGGCGGAAGAGGCAGAGAAGGGAAAGGGGTGAGGTGGCGGGAAACCAGAGGAGCAGAGGAGAATGACTGAGCAGCAGACGCTGTTAGTCCAGACTGGGATTTAACAAGGTGACTACTGAGTCGACTCAAAAGTCACCTAGCAGCAGGCGCCATTTGTTCGTCCAGACTGGGATTTAAAGCTTCAAACAAGGGGCTGCAGCGGGATTGCAATGCCTCACACATAACAGGGCATGAATCCCATCCATCAACTCCTACCCCCCACCACCCCTAGAAACCCCTCCACACCCACCCCTCACCCCCACCCCATCCACCTCCACCCCTCACCCCCACCCCTCACCCTCACCCCTCACCCCCACTCCTCAACCCCACTCTTCACCCCCACCCTTGTCCCCCACCCACGCTCATCCCCACTGCTCACCCCCACAGCACTCTGAAGTCAGAGGGGGCAGCCATGCCCAGCAGCAGCCGCCGCTGCAGTGCTTGCTTGAACTGCGGGGAAGGGGGAGAAGGGGTGGAGAGGCACAGGAGGGGTGCTTGATGATGACATGATGACATAATTGCGAAGAAGAAGCGAGAGGGGAGAGAGTTGAGTGGGCACGCCCGCCCAGCAGTAACCGCCGCTGCAGACGATTTTTGAGGGTGTTTTTGAGACGTCTCAAAAACGCCCAGCAGTAACCGCCGCTGCAGACAATTTTTGAGGCGCCTCAGAAGAAGCGAGAGGGGAGAGAGTTGAGTGGGCACGCCCGCCCAGCAGTAACCGGCGCTGCAACGCCTGGTTGAACTGCGTGGTGAGGCAGAGAGGGAGGACTTTTGAGGCGCCTCAAGAACCGACTTTAAAAGCGCCTCAAAAGCCGGCGCTGCAGCGCCTGGTTTAACTGCGTGGTGAGGCAGAGAGCGAGTGGAGATGCAGGAGGGTGGATGGAAGTGGACAAGTAGGAGGAGCGTGGATGTAAAAGGGGCAAAAAGAGGGCGACGGGGTAGCAGGTTGAGCAGGCATGCCTAGCAGCAGTTGCCACTGCAGGGCGTGCTAGAAGTGAGTGGTGGCGTTGGGGGGGAAAGGGGGAGTACGAGTCAGGGCATGCCTACCTGCTGCACAGCAGCAGGGTCTGTAACGTTCAACAGAATCACCTCATCCGCCGTGATGATTCAGCGGATGGATGCTCTCCGGATCCCCACTTACCACCACCGCACCCATGCTTCATTCAGATCCCCACGCAGCGCCTACCTGCTGCACAGCAGCAGGGTCTGTAACGTTCAACAGAAGCACCTCGTCCGCCATGATGATGCAACGAATGCTCTCCAGATCCCCGTGACCCACCGCCACACCCATAACCGAGTCAAAACACCCTTGATCCACGATACAAAGCTCATACCTGCTGCACGGCAGGGTCAGTGACGTTGAGCAGGAGCACCTCGTCCGCAGTGATAATGCAGTGGATGCTCTCCAGATTCACCACGACAGTTCATTCTTGATTCATATCCCAACACACAGGCACCTACCTGCTGCACGGCAGGGTCGGTGACATTGAGCAGGAGCACCTCGTCCGCTGTGATGATGCAGCGGATGCTCTCCAGATTCACCACCATGGCGCGCTCTCGCCCCAGGATGGTGGACGGATACACAAACACTGGGTCCAGCAGCCGCAGGTCTCGCCCGGGGAGGTCACATCTGGCGGTGGAGAGCGATAGAAAGGTAAAAAAACAGGGCGTTAGACGCGTCCACCTGTGTTCCTTCCCTCGCCCCAGGATGGTCGACGGATACACAAACACCGGGTCCAACACCCGTAAATCGCGGCCAGGCAAGTCGCATCTGGCAGGAGGGAGTGGTGGAGGGTAGTGGAAAGAATCAATGGGAAACTTGGGGGAAAGGCGTCAGGTTCACCACCACGGCGCGCTCTCGCCCCAGGATGGTGGACGGGTACACAAACACCGGGTTCAGTGGCCGCAGGTCTCGCCCGGGCAAGTCGCATCTGACGGTGGAGAGCGGTGTAAAGAGGTGGAATGCGGTGGAAAGGGAGAAGGGGTTCAGAGTCAGACGCCTCTACCAGTGACTTTTAGTGGTGGACGGATACACAAACACTGGGTCCAACAGCCGTTGGTCTCGTCCACGCAGGTCTTCCTCCCTCCCTCCAAATCCCACTCTCTCCCTGTCTCACTTTCGCATCAGCGTGCCTTTCCCCTCCGTACATTCCTCCCTTCCTCTCTTGTACCTCTCCTATCTTCCTCCCTTCCTCTCTTGTACCTCTCCTATCTTCCTCCCTTCCTCTCTTGTACCTCTCCTATCTTCCTCCCTTCCTCTCTTGTACCTCTCCTATCTTCCTCCCTTCCTCTCTTGTACCTCTCCTATCTTCCTCCCCTCCCTCCCCTTCATCCTCCCTCCCTCCCATCCTTACCGCCGCATCCGAGTGCCTTTGTCCACTTCCAGGATGCTCTCTCCCCCCTCTGTACCTTCGTCCACTCCGAGCCTTCTTTTACCTCTCCAATTTTCCTCCACTGCCTACCCGCAGCCCGCCATCCCTCCCTCACTCACTCACCGGCGCATCAGAGTGCCTTTGTCCACTTCCAGGATGCTAACTTCCCCCGACGGGTCGATTCTAATCCACGACCGCACGCCCTGCCCGCGCTTCTTCTTCGGCCCCATCGGCGGAGGAGGCGGAGCCCCCGCTCCCCCGAACCCTCCGCCTACTCCTCCCGCTCCCCCTAACCCTCCGCCTCCGCCTCCCCGCAGGCCGTTGGTGACCGCGCTAGTTCCCGTTCCCCCCGATGCTATCGAGCCGGACGCGGACGAGGCGGATCCTAGGTCCCTACTGGCGGCAGTGCCCGTAAAATGCGGCGTGAGTAGCGGCGAGAGGCGCGGGGATAATGGCGCGGCAGAGGGAGCTGGAGCAGGTGGGGGTTTTCCGCCTAGGCGGAACTGGGCTTGCGGAGGACCGGGGAGAGCGGCGGAGAGCCCGCCAACTGGGGGAGGCTGCGGGGGGATGATTGTGGGTACGGGAGGTCTGCGCGGAGGAAGCAGTGGCTTCTTCAAATCCGCCTTTAAATCGGCCATGGTGAGAGATGGTGTAGTTTGTGACACGAGGAAAAAAAGACCTTACTAGATGGCAGGAAGCTGACGGAGCAGGCAAGGAATAAACTAAGGATGACGTGAACCAACTACGGGCTGCTCCTACGCACCCTAGTCTCCAAGTCTGCCGTTGACATAGTTAGTCATGGTGATAAATGCATGTTCCAAAAGTTCTCATATATTTAGGTCTGCCGATGATGCGCCTGTCATGGCTTGGCAAACCCTTGCTACATGGCGAATTGAGATAGCCTATACCGTGTAATCCCCTTCAACAGTCCTAATGAGCAGCAAAGCTGTGTATAGTTCAATACAAGCTTCTAATTCTACTAGTTCTTCACGTGGGATTTGACGGGCGAAGGGCAGCTAAGGTCAAATAAGAGCTGGCGGCAGAGATGGCTTTAGTTAGGCGATAGGACTGGCTCTTCTAGGTACTCAATGCTAACGCTATCGCTTCGGACAAGGTTGTGGTAACCAGCTAGCGAGATTTGAATCTCGCTGGGTGAAGGTGACGAGTGACTGCACACCATTCCACTCGTGGTTTCCTGTGTGCGAAAAACGTGCTGACGAATGAGAAGCGAGAGTGAAAACCACCTCAGTGTACAGTACGGCGTTATCCAATGTGATGTAACCTGGTCAGTTGGGTGTGTGCTTGACTGGGAAACACGTTTTTTCGACCTCGGGAATAGTTTCTTCGCCCCACCCGACTGGAGGAAACTGCTCAAACATGAGGGCCCTGTTCGGTAGCCTTCCAGTCACATTGGGCCCACTCGAGCTGGGGAAGCCTACGAAATGTTTCGTAGCCTCGGGCGTCCACTCACACTGAAAGGAAGTCTCGTTCCCAAATCCAAGAAGTTACCTTGCGTTTCTTGAGAAATTACTTGCCGAAACTTTTATTGCTGTACGAGGCTGCCCCAACCACAAACAAAAAATCAGTCCGCCAAATGAAAAACGGTCGATATGGATAAAGAAAATCAGGAACGGGCACGATCTCTCATAGTTTGAAAGAGCGGGCTAAAAAACTTTAATTTGAACCGAATCAAAACTAGTGCAGCGTATACCCTCCAGCCTGCCACTCTGAGCGGGCCTGCCTGGGTTGAACTGGAAAGCTGAAATGGGAGGGACTTCCACTGACTGTCGAGTTTGCCTGGGCGCGACAGTTTCGTGGTAGTGTCCTAGCACGCAGTTGAAGTGGGATTTTTATGCGTTCGGTAGCCCAGTTGCACTGGACAGGCTCGATGTTCTAATAACGGTGTTTTGGGTTTTAAGCAATTTGAATTTAGGATAGAGAAGATCGCACGCACCAACCACAGTATGACTGGGAGGGCTACCGAGCAGGGCCGAGGATTCACAGCGCCGCCAAAAAGCGTTACGGTCAGCTTGTTGGAAATGAGGAACTGGGGCACTGAACTGACTGTAACACATCAGCTGCTGTGTTGATGCAGCAACTGCGACACGACTTCATTTGACGACTTAGCGACCAACCAGCAATTGTCAAGCCAGTGTTTCCTCCAAACAACACGACTTAGGTTTCCATGACTAAGTTTCCATGACTAAATTTCATGACTAAGATTGAGCTAAGACTTCTTTCCGATTCGTAGGTTTCTGGACTGTCTAGAACCACCTGAGTAACTTAACGACTTTGGTTGATAGTTGAGAGGAGGGAAGCCATCCCCAAGAACCAGAAACAGTCGACCAAGTTTTACGCTGAACCTCCCTCCATGCTGTGAGTCAGCCACGCCTTCTCCATCCTACTTCCCTTGCGTTTAGTGAGTACGTTGCTTCGGATAGTGTCGGGTAAAGAGGCTTCGAGTATCCTAGGGTTTACTTCCGCGTCTCGATTGTCTGACGGTTAGAGCCCTATCGTGCCCACTTCGGCGGGTGAGGCCCGCTGACACACCACAGATGCAGGGTCAGGCTTCGGTGGAGGCGGCCTCTAGGAACCATGAGGTCCTGCAGGCGTTCAGGGTGCTCGACGTGAATGGCGATGGCAAAATCTCCCCTCAAGAGCTGAGGCAGGTTCTGGATCGCATGGGGTGGGCGGACGAGTCGGCCATGCAGGAGCTGATGGCGAAGGCGGACACCAACGGCGACGGACTGATTGACTTCGAGGAGTTCGTGCATTCGTCGCTTAACCACGCGGGCGCGGGCGCACGTGACGGCGGGGCAGGCGGTATTGTGGAGGAGGAGGCGGAGGAAGGGGAGGAGGACCTGCGCAAGGCATTCGAGCTGTTCGACTGCGACGGCGACGGTAGCATCACCGCTGAGGAGCTCCAGAAAGCCATGCGCATGCTGAGCGGCGACAAGCTGAGCATGGAGGAGTGTCGCACGATGATTGCACGGGTGGACGTGAACAGAGACGGCCGCGTCAGTTTCTCGGAGTTCAAGGGCATGATGGACGGTGTGCTTCGCTGACATCATCTCGCGTGTTAACTCATGCTAACTTAGTACCGCGCCACTAGTGGCGGTTGGGTGCTCTAACAACGGCTAGCATGGTAAGTTTATTCATTGACATTGCTACCTTCAGCTCATGAGGTGTATGAGAGATAGCTTCGACCAGTGCCGTAGACCCCCACATGAGCTCTGTGAGAGTAATATAATAAATGCATCTGGCTCTTGCATGATTGTTTTTGGGTTGATGATACCACAACACAAGGTGCTAGTTCGGTGGGTGGAAGGATGATAGACGTGGTATGTATGTTAGCATAAGTGGCAGTGTTGTTAAACACCCACATGAAAAGGTTGGATAAGAAATTACCAGTACTGTTCTACCGGTAGCATGATACGGTAAGCAACCAGCGTGAGGCTCTTCTTCACACAACGGAGCCACTGTAAACAGGGCCTACGTTATCAGAAATTTTTGGTCTGTTTGTCTGGATTCCAGACACGTTTTTTATGGTTCATCTGATGGCCTAGACATGTCGTCTAAACTCATCTGATTTTTTAGACAATGTTTTTGTATTTATCTGAATTCTTAGACATCCTTATACAGTTTGTCTGAGACTGCAGATATCGAGTCTTTTCTCGTCTGAAGCAGGGCTGACAATTCAAGGGCAAATGCCCTTAATGCCCTGAACATTAAGGGTTGGGTTCGGCCCAGCTTCCGAATTTGAAGGGTTGGATTCGAGGGCAGCCCGTCCCCGTAAAGTGCTGGTTGTGGGCCTAACCCGGATTTCAAGTGCAGATCCCGCGGCTAGCCCTTATCGTCCCATACTAATACCTCCCTCCCTTCCATTCCCTCACCAGTCCACTCGCCTCCTCCCAGCCATTCCCCTACTTTTCCCATCCCTGTCAAATCCATCGACATGTTTCGTACCTCAGCCTATTGCTTAGCTGGCTCTTAGTAGTTTGCCTAAGATAACGGACCCGAAGAGATGTGGGGTTTCCTTAGCGAAAGTGCAAAAAAGTTGGTAGCCCTGATTTCAAGTGCCAGGTTTGCTCTCAGCCCGTAACTTTCAGGGCAACTTTTGGGGCACCTCAGCCTCTCAAGTTCTGGCTCCAAACCAATCGACAGCCCTGGTCTGAAGGCAAAACTTTCGCGGACCTCAAGGATGACTACACCTACCTAAAGAATCAGGCGCCATGATTCGAACCTGAAAACTCAGACTTCACGAGTCTCTTTTCTTCTGACTAGACCAAAAGGGAACAGTAAATTCGTGGTTCTTGCAGTATCCGATTACTTGATAAAAAACATTCCTTGCTAACTATATATCTTTATCTGAAATTTTAGACAAGTACTTAGGATTCGTCTGAAAAGCTAGACACTGTTACAGCTTTCGTCTGACAATCAGACAAGGAGCCAGGACCCAGTCTTAAAGCCAGACGGGTCATTTTACTAAAGTTAGCCCTGACTGTAAATACAGCTGTACAGTGTTCACTACCATAAGGGTAAGAACTGGAAACGAACATGAGTTGCCCTGGATTGATCAACCAGTCCTTGCCCTAGATATACCAGCCAAGCCAATCCTCTCTTTGCTGGCTACTCTTCCCACTCCCTTACCCCTCGCTCACCATTGTCCTTCCCGTCTTCCACCGTGCCCTGCTCACCCTCCCCCACATGTGCCATGATCCACTTGAGCCCCTCGCCCATGGTGCCTGGCAGGCATGTGGTCACTGATGCACCACGGCGACACCACTATCTCACGCACAGCCTCCTGCTGCACCTCCACCACATGCCACCGCATGTGACCTCCCGCCACCTCCTCGTGCGATGGGAACACGCCAAACTGCCTCTGTGGATGCACTTCCTTGCTATAATCTTATGCTTTTTAAGGTGCTTATTCCTGCATCTCAACCAAACATCTTCGCATATGCAGCCTTCTCCTTTTCCTTCCTTGTTGCCAGCTGCAAGGAAAGAGGGACGTCAAACATGAGTTGAAAATGATCATTTCAACAATTAGGCTTGCTATACTGCAATCACTCACCTTCTTTTTGGCAGCCGCAAGCTCTCTTTTGATTCCACCTGACCATGAATAAGAACGCACAACAACATTGTTTACAACTGCAAAGCGATGGAGATAATGGATTTGCAGCTATGCCAACAATCCCTAACAATCCACGGCGATAAGGTGAGTCCCATCAACATACCATCGTTCGGTTCGACCTTCAGGGCCTGTGTCAGGTCAGCAATTGCTGGTTCCAACTCATTGCGACCCAAATACGCCTGCCAATCACAAATCAAACAGAAATGCTCATGCCTAAGCACACATGGATTCTCTTCAAGCGAATAAGAGATTCCCATGCTTCACGATATACCCTGTTGAGAGGAGCACTGGCCTAGAAAAAGACACATTCGTACCTGGGCGCGTCTGAAGAGCGCTTTGGCGTTGTTCTCGTTTCTCGACAGCACCGAGCTGCTGTCCTCGATCGCACCGTCAAAGTCCCCGCGCTTCAGCTTGCACGCCTGGGAGAAAGAAAAATCACCCAGCATGCCACATCACAATGTGTGGGGTCGTTCATTTCTAAGGAGCCTCATGTGCAGCCATAATGCTGATACTTGAATTGCTTGCCCAAAAAAGGAACACCCAGCAAGCCCCCATACTGCAACATGTGAGAAAATATTTAATCAATCAGTGGTACAAAGAGACACTCAGCCTTACAAAAAGTGAGAGGAGCAATACACCATAGCCCCTCGCCACATTGTGGCACAGCTCGCTTCCCCTCACACACACCACAGCTCCTCACCACCCTTCACCTTCACAACACCCCACTGCCCGCCCCTCACCGCGTAGTTGTTTAGAAGGGCATCTCGTATGGTGTGGAGCTCCTCTAGGGTCTCTGATGGCCGTCAGGAGGACAGGGGACATTACACCTCACACAACCCACTCCCCACACCCCACACCCCACTGCCCGCCCCTCACCGCGTAGTTGTTTAAAAGGGCATCTCGTATGGTGTGGAGCTCCTCTAGGGTCTTTGATGGCCGTCAGGAGGACAGGGGACATTACACCTCACACAACCCACTCCCCACACCCCACACCCCACTGCCCGCCCCTCACCGCGTAGTTGTTTAGAAGGGCATCTCGTATGGTGTGGAGCTCCTCTAGGGTCTTTGATGGCCGTCAGGAGGACAGGGGACATTACACCTCACACAACCCACTCCCCACACCCCTCACCCCACTGCCCGCCCCTCACCACGTAGTTGTTTAGAAGGGCATCTCGTATGGTGTGGAGCTCCTCTAGGGTCTTTGATGGCCGTCAGGAGGACAGGGGACATTACACCTCACACAACCCACTCCCCACACCCCACACCCCACTGCCCGCCCCTCACCGCGTAGTTGTTAAGAAGGGCGTCTCGTATGGTGTGGAGCTCCTCTAGGGTCTCTGAGGGCAGTCAGGAAGAAACGGAAAGCATGAATTGGTGAAGGCAAGGAGATGCGACCATTGTACGATGAGAGAAGAGATGGGCAATGGGAGCACACCACCACGGCCTTGCAGTCAGGCTGCTAGAGACATCAGCTCATATCAGCACACAGCACAAGCGTACCTCCTGGGATGTCCTTCATGTCCCATGCCTTGTCCAAATACACCATGGCCTTGCGGTATCGCCGGAATGCCATGCGGTAGTCACCATTCTGCCCAGGGGGCGGATGTGAGGGAAGTCAATGTGTGCGAGAGAGCTTCAGATTCTGCTTTGAAAGGCCTGACCACCTGCGTCGCCCCAGAATATTAAGCCCCTCATCAGAAATCACGCCGCATCCTTTCCACACCTGAAACGGGTGACCAGTCGCTTACCTTGCCTTCAAGTGCTCCGGCTCTCACCTTGGAACGCTCCGGCTCTCACCTTGAAGTGCGTGGTGCCAAGGTCCTTAATTGATTTGACTGCTTCCACCCACCACTGCCACTCCGTGGGTCTCTCATCCAAGTCACTGGGCCAGTCGGGGTATTTGTCTCCATCCTGCCATGTGCACACCGATGGACAGACACAGGAAAAAGGGGCTGCTGGTACTGAGTACAAGGGCACGGGGGAAACGAGGCACCCCACCAACTTGCCGTGCCTGCAGATTGATCCTCACATTGCATCACAGAGCCTGCCGTATCCTTCCACCTCCCCCCTTCTCTCTCAGTTCCCACTTACAGGGTGGTTCATGGTGCCGTCGTCCTCCCCCTCTGCCAGCTCGCCGCAGTCGTCGATAACAACGTCGCTCAACGGACGATCTGAACCGTCCGTAGGTGTGATCTCCACCGCTCGAAGCACCTGATTGATCAAATAGAAAAGAGCGGAGATAAGCGGACTAGCTCGCTTTCTAGTTCATAGCGAAGAGGCAATCACAATGACTTTCGGGCAGTTCTGACTGCGGATGTCTTTGCATTCGTGCAACGAACACAACCAACCACTGGCAAGCATGCAGTGGCTCGAATTCAGTCTGTCATTCTCCAGCCTGCCCTCCTGCTTGTATGGCCGTTTGATCCAAATAGAAGTGCTTCCGATGAAACTTCACGTGAAGACAAAGTTGACTTCACTCTGAAAGAGGTCAGGTAAACCTGAAAGCATCTTTGTCCATACCCTTCACAAACAAATATCACTCTGAACCTTGTTCCTCACCTGTCCTCCTCTCAGCACCCTGCCAAACACGCAGTGCTTGCCATCGAGATGCGGCGTGGGCCCATATGTGACAAAGAACTGACTGCCGTTCGTGCCAGGCCCGCTGTTCGCCATGGATAGAATCCCACGCTTATCATGCTGCGGTGGAGTGCGGTCAGGATGGGAAAGGTGTGGGTTTGCTTAGCTCATTGATAAGAAGCGGCGCCTTATCAGGAAATGGAATGATGATGAAGGATGGATGGAGTGAAAAGCTGAATTTCGAGCCAGCTCGTTGATATGATTCAACCACCGCCTCTAAGTTGATGCTTTAAGCATAAGTGCTTTTGGAACCAAAGCCAGAAGAAAAACTCATGGTGACTGAAGATGATCATCCTTCCAAAGAATTGAAAGAGCTGTCTTTTGAGTCGACTCAGAAGAAAAACTAATGGTGACTGAAGATGATCATCCTTCCGAAGAATTGAAAGCATCATACCTTGAGCGCAAGACCCCCAGGCTCGTCCTCGAACTTCTCCCCGTAAATTGATTCGCCTCCTGTGCCGTTCTTGTTGGAAAAGTCCCCCCCTTGCATCATGAAACCCTTGATGACTCGATGGAAGGGGCAGCCCTGGAATTGTTTCAAACGGGAGAGGTAGAGGAGAGAGGAGAGAGGAGAGAGGTGAGAGGGGAGAGGGGGAGAAGAAGCGTATAATGGCGGGCCACTCGAGTGCAATGAGACGCTATAACGCCATTGTCATAAATCCAGAGTTACTCATAACGTGCAGTGGAATATCACGCTAATTGTTACAAATCTATCGATGGATGAGAGACCTTCACGTATTGAAATGAAACGGATCAAAGCAGTTTTTGTGAAATTCGGAGAACAATGAATCATAGTGGAGGCCAAGGCTCGCCTTGAAATGAAGCGGCAAGCCGGTGCTTGCGCCAATCCCCTTCTCCCCCGTGCAAAGCGCGCGGAAATTCTCCACCGTCTTGGGCGCGGCGTCTTTGAAGAGCTCCATCACCACGCGACCCTCCGGCTCTCCCGCGATCGACACGTCGAAGTACACGCGCGGATTCGCCATGGTCGCAGGATCGGAACGGAACGAGACGCACAGACGATCGACGAGTTCTAGTTGATGATTAGTAATTAACCACCTCGCAGATCTAGTGGTTAAACGGAGGTGGTAAGACTAAGGATAACCAGCGATCAGAGAATGTTGGGGGAGTTGAAAGTACCGTTTATGATCATCAGCCACACATGTTTCTGGAATTCTGGCTGCTCAGTTCCGTTCCATACCCTGTAAATTTAGCGGGAAATGGTTTGATGGTGGATTTTGGCTGTTGGAGATTCGAGAAGCTTCACCGCGACGCTTCTGAGCGTCAACAAATGCTGAAGCGAAGAGATGTCCGATGTTGTAACCATCACACTGAACTTCGTCCTCCAGTAAAAACAATTTCTGGCGATCCCAGCGACCTCGAACTTTGTCAATCCGATCTGAGAAGCTTTCATAGGGTGATCAGGTTCAGTAGCTGTTTGCGCGGCGATTTTAGGAGCTTTGTACGAAGATAGATGACCCCTCATTAGTTAGTCTCAGCACGTGGCTGTAGCGAATCCTGCTTCGGGTTTTGTGGAAGATGGTATCACGATTCAGCGCCTCCGTCCGCACCACTTTAGAACCACCCGTTTTGTTCAATTCGATACACACTACAGCTCGCACAGTCGTCAGAACCGCTTCTCACCGCATAGCGCTGTGCGATCGCGAATCAAACGCACCATTGCATCATCTCCCGGCCATACGCGCCTTTACACCTTTTACAGTCACGCCAGTCACAGTCGCACCAGCACATACTGGCCTCTCGTATCAGACAGAAACCCTGTCAGTACGTTGCCGTGCATCACAGTCGATAAAGGCATTCACCGGGTCGCAACGGTCAAGTTCAATTATCAGAGAAAATCAGCACGCAATGGCGGGTTCCAGGCCAGCAGCTGGGTCTTCTATGGGGTTTTTGAGCCATGATGGCCAAGACAAGGAAGCTCGAGGCAAGGAAACAGATGACAGACAAGCGGATGAGCCGGAGGTGACCTTCTACACGCACGGCCTGTGTCCGTACGCGCAGCGAGTGGCGATCACGCTGGAGGCCAAGGGTACGAGCCACGCCCTTCTGACATTCCTGTTTCTCTGTCTTCCAACGGCGTTCGTTCCGACATTGTGACTGCTCCTGCTGTCCGTTACTCAGGTGCCCGGGAAAATGTCTGCTTTGGCGCCTGAAACATGTGATTGTTTTTCTGTTCTGATCTGAACCAGGCGTGGATTACAAGAGCGTTCACATAGACCTCTCCAACAAGCCTTCATGGTACTTGCTTACACACAACCCCTCATTGCTGTTCGCTTCACTCTCCTGCTGCCTTTTACCCCTCTCAATCGTCTCATATTTTCCTTCCAACGTCCACGGGCACTATGGACACATGCAGGTACTTTTCGGTGAATCCGCGTGGTCTGGTGCCAGCTGCGGATGTGAGCGGCCAAGTGGTCACAGAGAGCATTGACATCTGCAGGTTTCTGGACGAGCGCTATCCCAAAGTGCCTCTGGTGCCATCAGAGGCGCAGAGCAGCAGAGCCATGGACCGCCTTGTCAGCAAGGCCGACTCTATCATTCATGCTGTGAGTCTGTTTAATACATTTTGGATCTAAGGTACAAGCAAGCACGTCGTTACTCTCACTCCCAGCTGCGTTCAGCTTCCTTATTTCCGCCTCTTGCAATTGCCTCTGCCTCGACTTTACAGCCATTCTCCAACCTGTCATTTTCTGCAGTCACCGGCCCCCACATACACAAGCCCATTCACAAAGCACCAGCACCAGGCATGCCCCTACCAATCTCTCCAGGGCCCTCCCTCCCTTCCCTGTCCCAGGGCCTTGCAATGGTGGCAGGGTCTGAGCGCCTGTGAGCTACTGACACCAAATAACCTTCCCCCCCCCTTCTCCACCCCCCTTTCCCCCTCCCTCTCCACCCCCAGCAATGGTTGCTGGGTCTGAGCGGTTGTGAGCTATTGACACCAACTAACCTCCCCCCCCCCTTCTCCACCCCCCTTTCCACACCTCCAGGGCCTAGCAATGGTGGCAGGGTCTGAGCGCTTGTGGGCCATTGACACCAAGAGGGGCAGCAGAGGAGGGGGGAATGCGAGGGTACAAGGAGAGTGGATCAAAGCTCTAGACTCACTGCAAGAGGCTGTGCGCCAATCACAGGGGCCATTCTTGACGGGTGCAGACCTCTCTCTGGTACGTGACATGATACTGCTTTGAATGGGGTTGTATGGTTGGCTGCTTCTCATTCTCGCATTACAAAGAAGCACCTGCGTGTAAAACATGTTGATATGTGTTGTCTCGCCCAGCCTGGGCACACCTGCACCTGTCTCCACTCTGTCTCCACTCTACTTGACTCCACTCCACTTGACTCCACCTGTTTCCACTTCACCCATATATCATGGCAGGCTGATGTGGTGCTCTTCCCCTTCCTCGCTCGCTTCCAGCTAGTGGCAGAGGGAATACGAGGCGAACCCTTCTCTCCTGACCACCCACTCGTCACCCAATGGATGGCCGCCATGTGGCAGCAGCCATCTGCCAGGCGCACGTTTCCTGACAGGGACCGGTTCCTGCTGGCGCTGAAGCAGTATGCCAGCCTTGATTACTTTGATTTCCACTCCACTTCACTGGAAGACCCAGTTCCCAAGTACTGGGTGTAGGGCGACACTGTAGGGTGAAGTTCCAAGCAAGTATTAGTCACTGCTATCAGCGGTACGGTTAGGTGCTGACAAAATCGGTATTTATGGGACAATATTCCTGCTGGAAGCTGGTTGGGTTCATGTAGGAAGTACGGAACTAGTCATCCTTGGCCCTGCCGCCTACGTGATTGATCTTCTGTGCATTGTACATTTGAGCAACCTGTTGGGATGGGGCACAGACACATAACACGAGACACACAGCTCCATGTAACCTCCTTGCATTCAAAGCGCCTAAGAAACAGGCCAGCACACACTTGCAGCGCACAGGGAGCTTCAATTCGAAGTGCTCATCTCTTGTGCATCTCTCAGCCATGCTAGACAGCCTGAGGTGACGAACCTACCTGCTTGCTAGCTGTAGAGTGCTCCTGAGTCCTGACTGTGCTTCCCATGCTGTCGCCTCCTCTCACCTTGGCATCTGAAATAGTTCAACAGAATCCCCCAACACAACCCACCCACCCGTCCTGTAATGCTAACCTGTCCATTAGAAGTGAACATCCACTCGTCCTCCGCCTTTCAACCACCTCCCCCCCCCCCCCCCCCCCCCCTTCCCCCTCGCTCACCTTTTCACTGGAAGTAGCCTGCTCTACACTCCTATCGGCATGCAGCTACAGGAACCAGGGAAACTGCAGGGAGTACAACCTCGTTCCCTCCTCAGCCCAACCCCAAGATCCCCTCTCTCTGGTGCTCACCAGTTTGCCGGAAGTAGCTTGTTCTGCGCTCCTATCATCTCGCAACCGAAACTTTCATCCCCCCTCCCTTCCCCCCTCCGCCACCCTTTTCCCCTTGTGCTCACCTGTTCGCTGGAAGTAGCCTGCTCAGCGCTCTTGTCATCTCCCAGCCATACTAGTTTCCCCCACTCCTCAAACCCCCCTCAAACCCCGTCTCTACCCCCCCATCCCCAAGCTCACCTGTTCGCTGGAAGTGGCCTGCTCCGCGCTCTTATCATCTCGCAGCCTCAGGAACCGGGGGAAGCGCAGAGCGATTCCTTTCGTCTCATTCACGTGCCCGGTTGCCGCCCGGTGCACGGGACTAATGGACAAATCCGCCGCCCGCACCTCCCACACCTCTGACGGCTCGAACCACACTTCCACTCCTAGCGTCTCCCCATACCGATAGTAGGGCTGGGTGTGGGGGGGAGAGAACGGGTTTGGAGTAAGAAAGGGAAGCAGTGGGGGATACACAAACACCACAATATGCCACTCAGACAGCATTGAGTGAGAAAGGTGTTGCAATGATGGGCACGGTACTGCACCACACCACACAACACCCCATCCCACCACTTCCAACCACACCCGACACCATGCCACCCCACCATACCCCACACCGCCCCACCCCACCACTGCACTCACAGGCGGCTTGTCAATGACTCGCTTGCGCAGCGATGCGGATCGCTCCTCCAGCGCTGCTTCGGAGAAGCCGGTGCCGATCTTGCAGATGGACTGGTACTCCTCCGTGTCAGGGTCGTAGCACGCCAGGAGGAACGCCCCGAAGACACCTGTTGAGGAGGACATGATAGATGTTGTTACACAAGGGAACTGGATCTGAATGTCGCCTTGCAGATGGACTGGTACTCCTCCGTGTCGGGGTCGTAGCACGCCAGGAGGAAGACTCCCAACACACCTGTTGAATCAAATGCAATCACGGCAGAAATAGCACGACTTCCAAGGGTTTTTTGCACATTAACATACGGCTTTGCTGTGAGACAGAGACAAAGGGGTTGCACAGAGAAACCGTTGTTCCAGCCCCAAGAGCAGTGGATTTCGTTCAGCAGCAAGCCTTTCAGGCCCAACCCTCCATCATCCCAATGTGTCACCTGCAAAGTTGCAAACCCATCCCATGACCCAGTGTCCTATGCTACTCTCCACCCCTCCCCTCACCTGTTCGTTTGCCACGGCCATGGAACGCCCCGATTGGCACAAGGTCCAAGGAGTCGCCCAGCCTGATTGGGAGGCAGCAGAGGCATGACGGGGGGGGGGGGGGGGGGGCGGGGAGCAGGGTGAAACGGGAGTGAGGGTAGTGGGGGATCATGAGGCACCTCGTGGAACGCCCCGATGAGCACAAGGTCCAAGGAGTCGCCCAGCCTGATTGGGAGGGAGTTTGGGAGAAGAGAGAACAGGGTGAAGAGATTGAGGGAGCAGAGAGAACAGAGTGACGAGAGTGAGGGAGACGAGAGAACAGAGTGACGAGAGTGAGGGAGACGAGAGAACAGAGTGACGAGAGTGAGGGCGACGAGAGAACAGAGTGACGAGAGTGAGGGAGACGAGAGAACAGAGTGACGAGAGTGAGGGCGACGAGAGAACAGAGTGACGAGAGTGAGGGAGACCAGAGAACAGAGTGAAGAGAGTGAGGGAGCAGAGAGAAAAGAGTGAAGAGAGTGAGGGAGCAGAGAGAACAGAGTGAAGAGAGTGAGGGAGCAGAGAGAACAGAGTGAAGAGAGTGAGGGACCAGAGAGAACAGAGTGAACAGAGTGAGGGAGCAGAGAGAACAGAGTGAAGAGAGTGAGGGAACAGAGAGAACAGAGTGAAGAGAGTGAGGGAGCAGAGAGAACAGAGTGAACAGAGTGAGGGAGAAGGGCGAGCGTGAAAACAGAGTGAGGGAGAAGAGTCAGTGTGAGAACGGAAGGGTGAAGAGTGAGGGTGAGAACGGAGCGAGGAAGAAGAGTCAGAGTGAGGGTGAGAACGGAGCGAGGAAGAGGGTCAGAGTGAGGGTGAGAACGGAGCGAGGAAGAAGAGTCAGAGAGAGAAGAGTCACAATCTAGCCAGGCCCCACCCTTCCACGTAGTCCTTTCTTGAGCAACACGCATCCTCATCCTCAGCACTGGGAGACCCACCCCAACCGTCCTTTGCTTCCTGCCCTGCCCCATCCCCCCCTTCCATCAATCAAGTCCTTCTTGATCTCGAGCCAGTCTTTGCTCCTCTTGGCCGGCTCATACGTCAACCAAGCACCACACACAAGCACTCACAGTCCTACCCACCGCACCACCACACGCACGACCCATCCCCACCACACCACCACACGCACGACCCATCCCCACCACACCACCACACGCACGACCCATCCCCACCACACCACCACACACACGACCCATCCCCACCGCACCCTTCCATGTAGTCCTTCTTGAGCTTGAGCCAGTTGTTGCTCCTCTTGGCCGGCTCGTATGTGGCATCCACGTCCAGGGTCTTCACCATGGCGCCCTCGCAGCTGCCACAGGGGAAGAGAAAGGGGAGCAGGAAGGGGGAGGGGGAGGTAAGCGGCACGGAGACAAGTCACCATGCACAAGGAGGAACAGCTCGTATGGAAGCAGGGGAAAGCGGGAAGAGGAAAAAGGGAGAAGAAGGGGAAAGGGAGGTGGGGGAGGAAGGGAGTGGAATGAAAATTATGGCCTGCAAAATCGAGGGTACAAGCTCAGCTCAGCTGCCTCCACAACCAGCGGCTTCACTGTCCCGCCCTCTCCCCTTTAAACCCCTCTAATCCCAGCAGCACCCCACCTGTGGTTGACAGCGTCGTCAAAGAACGCCTGCAGCTCCTCCTCCTTGCTGGTCGTGATGGCCGTCGCGAACTGGAACTCGCCCTTGGCCGCCTCAAACGACTCCAGCAGCAGCTGCAGGGGGGGAGAGAAGCGAGGAGACGTCACGAGTACAGGAGAACACGGAGAGCAGGCTTCATTCAAGGGCTTCAAACGACCTTGCTCAAGTCAAACGAAACTGAGACTCGCCCTTGACCGGCTCAAACGACTCCAGCAGCAGCTGAAGCAACACGGCGAAGGAAGGAAGGGTGAGTCAGGAGAGGAGCACGATCTTTGTTCCATTGGCCTGGAGTTTTCTTCAGATTCTCTCAAAACTCGCTCACAAAGGCCTCGAGTGCCGTGTTGTTGCAATGCCTCAAGTAGTGAGAGAACGCCGTGGTAACAGTAACGGACCCAAACGAAACAAAAGCAGCAATCCTGGACTACCCTGCCCTGCCATGTCGTGCCTCACCTCTCTCCGCCGCACGAGCTTCTCTGTGAGCAGCTGCTGGCGAGATGACTTTTGAGTCGACTCAAAAGTCATCCTGTCCTGCCGTGCCTCACCTCTCTGTGGTGCCTCACCTCTCTGCCGTGCCTCACCTCTCTCCGCCGCACGAGCTTCTCTGTGAGCAGCTGCTGGCCGTTGAGGTAGAGCAGATCGAATGCGAACATGCACACCTGGTGTGGGAGAAGATGGGGAGGGGGAGAAGAAGAGGAGGACTGAGATGCCTCAGAAATGCCTCTTTAGCTGGTCATCGTTGAGGTAGAGCAGATCAAATGCGAACATGCACACCTGGTGTGGGAGAAGATGGGGAGGGGAAGAGGGGAGGGAGCAGAGTGAGTGCGGCCAAGAACAGAAAGATCATTTGAGCAGGTATAATCGGAGCACACACACACACACACACACACACACACACACACACACACACACACACACACACACACACACACACACATCGCACCCACCCACCTGCACTTTAATGTCGCTCATGATGACGCCCTTCCGCGCCCGCGTGCTTAGCACCTGGAAGGGCAGAATCTTGTCGCTCTCCCTGTCGTACGCCACTGCTTCTGCATCCAATACAAACGTCTGCACGTGACTTTTCTTGTGCCTGCAAGTAAGGAAGAGGGGAAACAGAGGAGAACTAAGCAACCGGAACGGCAGAATCTTGTCTCTCCTCCTGTCATACGCCACTGCCCTCTGCATCCAACATAAACGTGGGCCTTCTTGTGCCTGCACATGGGGGAGAGGGGAATTCGGGGAGAGCGAATTTCGGGTTCTGAGACGTGAGCACCTGGAAGGGCAGGATCTTGTCGCTCTCCCTGTCATGTGCCACTGCCTCCGCATCCAACACAAATGTCTTAACGTGGTCTTTCTTGTGCCTGCGAGTGCAGGAATGCGAGGTGACTGGTCTATCCCTGTTGTGTGCCACTGCCTCTGCACCCAGCTTCTGCCTCTGCCAAACTTGTGCACATGGGCCTTCTTGTGCCTGCGAGTGCGGGAATGCGAGGTGACTGGGCTATCCCTGTTGTATGCCACTGCCTCTGCACCCAGCACAAACTTGTGCACATGGGCCTTCTTGTGCCTGCGAGTGTGGGAGGGGCCGTGGGGAGGAAGGGGCTTGGTGAAGGGGAGGGTTTTGAGACGCCTCTATACTGCGTCCAGCACAAACATCTCCACTTGGGCCTTGTTGTGCCTGTGAGTTAGGGAGCAAGTGCGGGGCGAGTTTCCAGTCAACTCAAGAGTCACTGCGACTCCCTGCCGTACGCCACAGCCACCCTGTCGCTCTCCCTGTCGTACACCACTGCCTCTACATCCAGCACAAAGGTCTTCACGTAAACCTTCTTGCGCATGCCAGTAAGGGAGAGGGGAAACGGGGGAGAAGAGGGGTTTGAGACGTGATCACCTGCACGAGAGGGCGATTAGTTAACCTTCTTGGAACCTCTTAACACCCAACTGATTACGAGCTGTACCGTTTCTTTCGTGCTCCGACAGAGAAAGAAAAACACACAAACACACACACACACACACACGCACACACACACACACACACGCACACACACGCACGCACACACACGCACACACACACACCCTTACTGACTGCGTGCTTGACCGACTTACTTCTGAACAGCCTGTACGAGGTCGGGGAACTTGCCAGTGGTGCACTCCGCATTGCGGCTGTAGATCTGCACTGTGCCGTCCGCTAGCCCATGCACCTGCCAGGGACGTGGGGCATGAGAGCATTGATGTTGGTTGGCATGGGCTGGGCTGGGCCATGGGGTGACGTTCGCATCGGGCATGGGTGGGCGGCAAGGGAGATGGAAATTTGTATGAGACCCCTCCCATCCAGATTTGACTACCATGAGAACAGGACCCCAGCAGCTCACTCTCACCTGTGGTGACTTTTGAGTCGACTCAAAAGTTACCATGAGAACAGGACCCCAGCAGCTCACTCTCACCTGTGTTCTCACTCTCACCTGTGTTCTCACTCTCACCTGTGTTCTCACTCTCACCTGTGTTCTCACTCTCACCTGTGTTCTCACTCTCACCTGTGTTCTCACTCTCACCTGTGTTCTCACTCTCACCTGTGTTCTCACTCTCACCTGTGTTCTCACTCTCACCTGTGTTCTCACTCTCACCTGTGTTCTCACTCTCACCTGTGTTCTCACTCTCACCTGTGTTCTCACTCTCACCTGTGTTCTCACTCTCACCTGTGTTCTCACTCTCACCTGTGTTCTCACTCTCACCTGTGTTCTCACTCTCACCTGTGTTCTCACTCTCACCTGTGTTCTCACTCTCGCCTGTGTTCTCACTCTCGCCTGTGTGCTCACTCCATCCTACTCCAACTCGCATGTGAACGTAAGCGCCTGCAGCTAGTCCAATATCTCCAATACGCCCCTGGAGCCCCCTCTTCACATCTTTACTAGAATTCCACGCGCCTAAACGCACCGTCCTCGTGTCTCACGTTCACTCACCTGTGTGCGCTCCCCATCGTACTTATACTCGCACGTGAACGTCAGCCCCTGCAGCTTGCCCAAGCACACCCACTCACATGCAATATGCATACTCCCATCCCAATCATCGCCCTCATCTCACCTGCGTCCTCTCCCCATCGTACTTATACTCGCACGTGAACGTCAGCCCCTGCAGCTTGTCCAGAATCTCCGATATCCCCCGTGTGGGCTTCGCCAGCATGGGCCCCACCGGCACTCCCAAGGTGAACTGACACGCCTCGGGAACGGCCCATATGCCGTCTCTTAATAGGGATGGAACAACTTGGTCGTAAACTGGGAGGACTGAGTACGCATGCTTCATGATGCGCACTGCCTGGGGGTCGGGGGAAAGGGCGGGGATGAGTGGGGGATGGGGGAATCGGGAGTAAAGTGGGAGATTGGGGAATGGGGCGGTCGGGGGGAGTGCGGGATGTGTGGGTTGAGCGGGCCAGCATGGGCCCCATCGGCACTCCCAAGGTGAACTGGCACGGCTAACTGACACTCACCTCTTCTAGTCTTCCCGGCAGTCGAGCCAGTTTTTCCCTCTTTGAAAGCACCTTTCCTCCTTGACTCTCCTTCCCCGGCCATTTTTCCTCAACCTCTCCCTCCGTCCCCCCATCCCCTCCTCTCCCAACTGCCGCAGCAGCCCCATCCCCAACCTCCTTATTGCCCCCATCCTTATCGTCACCACCCGCACCACCACCACCAGCACCAGCAGCACCAGCAGCAGCAGCGGCAGCATCACCAGCAGCAACACCGGTGCCCTCTCGGAAGTCCTCGTGCATGACAGCAGCCTGAGCCAGGGCGGCGAGCACCGTCTGTTCTGCGAGGCCGATGCGCATCTTGCCCTGCAGCAGGCGCACTATGAACTGCGGCTCCTGCTGCCGCGCCGACACCAGCAGCTGCTTTATCCGCGCCCGCTTCTTCTCCACACTCTGACTGCCTGACTCCTGAGGGAGGGAAGTTAGGGGGTGGTAGAGGCAGGGAAGGCAGCGCACACAGACACAGTCACACAGAAGGAGACGTATGGGCCGGAGGCGTTGGGGGAATGCGGGGGTGATAAACCGTAAGGTTCACTCACCACGAGTAGCCAGATTTACTCACCTTGGCGATGAATCGGAAGGCTTCAAAGACCTTGTGGCACGTGAGTGGCGCCGGCTGCATCATCATGCGCTGCGTGGTGCGGCTGGCCTTCGCCACCAGCCCCAGGTCGCCACACTCCTGCAGAAACAAGTAGGATGAAAAAAAAAAAAAAAAACTAGGGATTGAAAATCTCAGACTACAAGGCTCAAAGGTTTGAATGTCAAGGTACACAGGGGGCTGTGACATCTCGAAAGTTCCGTTACGTATTAAGGATAAAGCCATGTAAGAGGCATGACGGCAATGTGGCTGCACTACTGTGACACAACCATGCTTCTATCCATGAACCAGCACATTTCTTACAGTCCCTCTCTCCACCCCCTTGCACCACAGTTCATTCATTCCCATCTCACATAACGTCTACGCCGATTCCACCACCACCTCTTACCTCTTCACGGCCTCAGCCAGAGAGCACGTACGATCTCTGGCCTCTTGCTTGCATCACATTTCACGCAGTCCCGTCTCACTTTCCTTATGCTCCGACTTAACCACTGCCTCTTTCCTCCCCGTCACCTCGGCCAGAGCGCAACAAACAGTGGCGTCACCAGTTCATTCGTTCTCATCGTACCAACCTTGCACTCTGATTTCACCACCGCCTCTTTCCTTCTAATCACCTCAGCCAGAGCATGGCATGGATGATAGTCACATCGCCGAACCCCTCCATAAATCTGAGACGCTTTTGAGAATTCTCAAAAGCGCCGAACGCCTCCCCCGGCTCTTGCTTGCATCATACTTCATTCATTCAATCCCAACTCACGTACCTTAGGGCGTGGAAGATCCCTACGAACATGTGTTTGGTTGCTCCTGTGGTCCAACATGTGTTTGGTTGCTCCTGTGGTCGAACATGTGTTTGGTTGCTCCTGAGGTCGAACATCTCGCCTTGTCAATGGCTTGCGACATCTTTTGCCGGGTAACACAGGAAACCCCACATTGCAAATCAGAGAGGCTTTAACGTTTCGGAAGGGGCCTTGGTCGCTCTCAAGCGAATAGCTCTGAGTTTGTCAATCACTCGGAGCAAATTGGATTGCACCACATCACCCACGACAACACCTGGTTTCATGTCGCGTGATTCTTCTTACGTCGCCAATCTTGTCTTTTCCTCGTGGACCCAAAAACGTGGGGCAACAAGGGGGCACGGGCTCTGAAACGCTTTTGAGTCGACTCAAAAGTAAAAACGTGGGGCAACAAGGGGGCACGGGCTCTGAAACGTGAGTGCTTGTAGCAATTTTCGTCATTCTATTAGCGATGCTTATTGGCGAGAGTCGCAACCTGTGTTACTGTCGCAACTGCGCGACCAATGCCTTGTTCACAGGGATCTTCCACGCTCTTATACTTCGACTTAACCACCGCCTCCTTCCTCCCAGTCGCCTTAGCCAGAGCACGGATGATGGTCACATCGCCAACCCCCAGCCCCTTGTAGCACAACAGTTTGGCTGTTCTCATCGTACCTTCCTTTTACTCTGGATTTGATCGCGTACCTTGTACTCCGACTTAACCACCGCCTCCTTCCTCCCGGTCGCCTCAGCCAGAGCGCGGATGATGGTCGCATCGCCAATCCCCAGCTCCACGCCCTCGTGAGGTGGCGCAACGCGATTGGCCGCCAGGTACACGATGGGCAGCAGGTCGTCTGGTGACGTGGCCATGACTGTGCGGAACACGTTGCACATGATCTCCGTGATCGCCAACCGTCCAGATTCGTTGGATATTCCTGGCACACGCAGGCAGGTTGGAGGTGTATTGTTGTAGAATCACAAAATACGCTGATTACTGTGCAGAGCATGTTGCACACCATGTCCAGATTCGTTGAATAATCCTCGTAATTCGTACATACAGCGGCGGATAGAGGAGCATGGAAGTCGACAGGTGAGTCAAGAAAAGAGGCTCAACCCACCACGCTAAACCTATAGCCTTTCTGTCCTCACACCATTTCAACCCAAAACCCATACCCTGATTTCCACAACAATGTATGACCCATCACCCTCATTGTTCACCGTGCATAGACTCTACACTTACGTGCCCACAGCCCAGCACGCACAGCCCACCACGCACAGCCCACCACGCACAGCCCACCACGCACAGCCCACCATGCACAGCCCACCACGCACAGCCCACCACGCACAGCCCACCACGCACAGCCCACCACGCACAGCCCAGCACGCACAGCCCAGCACGCACAGCCCAGCACGCACAGCCCACCACGCACAGCCCACCACGCACAGCCCACCACGCACAGCCCAGCACGCACAGCCCACCACGCACAGCCCACCACGCACAGCCCACCACGCACAGCCCACCACGCACAGCCCACCACGCACAGCCCACCACGCACAGCCCACCACGCACAGCCCACCACGCACAGCCCACCACGCACAGCCCACCACGCACAGCCCAGCACGCACAGCCCAGCACGCACAGCCCAGCACGCACAGCCCACCACGCACAGCCCACCACGCACAGCCCACCACGCACAGCCCAGCACGCACAGCCCACCACGCACAGCCCACCACGCACAGCCCACCACGCACAGCCCACCACGCACAGCCCACCACGCACAGCCCAGCACGCACAGCCCACCACGCACAGCCCACCACGCACAGCCCAGCACGCACAGCCCAGCACGCACAGCCCAGCACGCACAGCCCACCACGCACAGCCCAGCACGCACAGCCCAGCACGCACAGCCCACCACGCACAGCCCACCACGCACAGCCCAGCACGCACAGCCCACCACGCACAGCCCACCACGCACAGCCCACCACGCACAGCCCACCATGCACAGCCCACCACGCACAGCCCACCACGCACAGCCCACCACGCACAGCCCACCACGCACAGCCCACCACGCACAGCCCACCACGCACAGCCCACCACGCACAGCCCACCACGCACAGCCCACCACGCACAGCCCACCACGCACAGCCCACCACGCACAGCCCACCACGCACAGCCCACCACGCACAGCCCAGCACGCACAGCCCACCACGCACAGCCCACCACGCACAGCCCACCACGCACAGCCCAGCACGCACAGCCCACCACGCACAGCCCACCACGCACAGCCCACCACGCACAGCCCACCACGCACAGCCCAGCACGCACAGCCCAGCACGCACAGCCCAGCACGCACAGCCCACCACGCACAGCCCACCACGCACAGCCCACCACGCACAGCCCACCACGCACAGCCCACCACGCACAGCCCACCACGCACAGCCCACCACGCACAGCCCACCACGCACAGCCCAGCACGCACAGCCCACCACGCACAGCCCACCACGCACAGCCCACCACGCACAGCCCACCACGCACAGCCCAGCACGCACAGCCCAGCACGCACAGCCCACCACGCACAGCCCAGCACGCACAGCCCAGCACGCACAGCCCACCACGCACAGCCCACCACGCACAGCCCACCATGCACAGCCCACCACGCACAGCCCACCACGCACAGCCCACCACGCACAGCCCACCACGCACAGCCCAGCACGCACAGCCCAGCACGCACAGCCCAGCACGCACAGCCCAGCACGCACAGCCCAGCACGCACAGCCCACCACGCACAGCCCAGCACGCACAGCCCAGCACGCACAGCCCACCACGCACAGCCCACCACGCACAGCCCACCACGCACAGCCCACCACGCACAGCCCACCACGCACAGCCCACCACGCACAGCCCACCACGCACAGCCCAGCACGCACAGCCCACCACGCACAGCCCACCACGCACAGCCCACCACGCACAGCCCACCACGCACAGCCCACCACGCACAGCCCACCACGCACAGCCCACCACGCACAGCCCAGCACGCACAGCCCAGCACGCACAGCCCAGCACGCACAGCCCACCACGCACAGCCCACCACGCACAGCCCACCACGCACAGCCCACCACGCACAGCCCACCACGCACAGCCCACCACGCACAGCCCACCACACACAGCCCAGCACGCACAGCCCAGCACGCACAGCCCACCACGCACAGCCCACCACGCACAGCCCAGCACGCACAGCCCAGCACGCACAGCCCAGCACGCACAGCCCAGCACGCACAGCCCAGCACGCACAGCCCAGCACGCACAGCCCACCACGCACAGCCCACCACGCACAGCCCACCACGCACAGCCCACCACGCACAGCCCACCACGCACAGCCCACCACGCACAGCCCACCACGCACAGCCCACCACGCACAGCCCAGCACGCACAGCCCACCACGCACAGCCCACCACGCACAGCCCACCACGCACAGCCCACCACGCACAGCCCACCACGCACAGCCCACCACGCACAGCCCACCACGCACAGCCCACCACGCACAGCCCACCACGCACAGCCCACCACGCACAGCCCACCACGCACAGCCCACCACGCACAGCCCACACGCACAGCCCACACGCCCACCACGCACAGCCCACCACGCACAGCCCACCACGCACAGCCCACCACGCACAGCCCACCACGCACAGCCCACCACGCACAGCCCAAAGCCCAAACCAACGTACTGTCAAGCGCCTGGGCGAGGTAGAGGAAGGGCACCCGCTCGCCGCTCTTCCAAGTGGCAGCTGCCACCGGATCATACTGCACCAGCTTCGCTGCCAGCGCCACCAACCCATCGCCTGCTCCTCCTCCTCCTGCGCCTCCTGCCCCGGCCCCTTTTCCCCTGTTTTTTCTCTTGGCTTTCGTTTCCGTGCGTCCCTTAGCTTGCTTTAGGGCGTCAAAGGCGGATTTTGCTTCCTCCGCTCCTGCGGCTGCGTCGACAGGTGGCTCTGCCAGGTCACTGCTGGCACTGTCCATGTCACTGTCCACGTCAGCACCGTCACTGGTGCTGCTGCTACTGGCGGATAATGCCGCACCCTTGCTGCCACTACTGCCGCTGCTGTCACTGCTGCTGCTGCTGCTGCTTCTGCTGCTGGTCCTGCGACGAGTGCTCTTTTTCTTCCCTCCCTCAGCTGCTAACTCAGCCGTGGCCACAGCAGCAGCAGCAGGTGCGTCAGTTGCTGCTTTACTAGCTGTATCTGCTGCTTTACTAGCTGTATCTGCTGCTTTCTTCCTTCCTCTGGCACCAGGTGGCGACTTCGGTGTGACGGCAGGAGTGGAAGCCCCTTTACCAGCCGCAGCAGCAGCAGCAGCGACAGCAGACGCAGAAGCTTTGGCAGCGGAAGCAGAAGCAGCAGCAGCAACGGTGGCGGCGGCAGCTGCAGCAGCGGATTCCTTCCCCTTATCGCCTCCTTCAACCCCGATACTCCCCGTCTCATGCCTTGCCTTCTTTGCACCTTCTCCCACCTCCCCTGTCCCTCCACCCACCGCCACAATCTCTTCTCCTTCACCTGCCCCTTCCTCTCTTCCTTTCCCCGCTCCCCGCGCCCCCTCCCCAACCTTCCTAAGCCGCTTCAACCGCCTTGCGCCAGCTCCGCCAGTCACTGCTTCCCCTGCTCCTCCTCCTGCGCTTCCCCCTCCGCCTTCCCTTCCCCCTACTGCTTCCGCGTCCGCCATCTCTTCCCCCCAAGCTTCCTCCGCCACTGCCTCCTCAGCGCGGGTGTCTTCTTTCCCTGCAGATGCCACTGCTCCATCCCCGTTTTCAACAGCCCCTTTAGCAGTCTGTGTGGGTACTGGAGAATCTGCTGCTGCTGCTGCTGCTGACTCTAAAGGCTCTTTCTTCTTCAATGCCGTCTCCTTCAACTCCTCGCTTGCTTTATCCACTGCACTGGGATTCGGACCCTCGACCTCGGATTTACCTCCACCACCACCACCCCCAACAGCAGCAGCCTTCCCTTTTGCACCGAAAAACGAGGAGATGGACCTCTGGCCGCCCCCAGGTAAAGCCTTCCCCGCGGTTCCTGATTGGTCCTTGCCTCCAAAGAACGAGGCAATGGACCGTTGACCGCGGCCGTCAGCAGCAGCGGAAACGCCAGGCTTCTTGGCACCGCTACCTCCCCGACCTGACTTCATCGTAGCTGGCAGCTGACTGCCGGTTAGCCGTTTGTTGACGGCTAGCTGGTGATTATCGACTGGTGAGTGGTGAGCAGCTGGAGGCTTGCGAACTGAAGGGAGTCGGCGGACGGCTGGCAATCCCTGGAGAGGTGCTGCGCGGTGGAGAGCTGTGGCTCCTTCAGGTCGGATGAGACCCGAACGAGTAACTGCGACGACGGTCCGGCGGGGATGACAGCTGAGATGCACGGCGTTGGCGCGCAACGTGGGAAGCCGGGTAAAACTTACGCAGCAGCTGCGGAAGTTAAGCGCTAAGCTCATGGAGAACCACGCCCTGACGGCACGCCCGGAAGTCCTGAGACCCCTGGGACCTCACGTTCGTGGGAAGGTAAGCGCTAAGCTCTTGGATAAACACGCCCTGACGGCGGATAACGACCCCTGAGAACACCTTGCAGCGCCTGAAGACAGACAAATCAAGGTGGACAGATCGGTTGAAGTAGGTTCACCAGTGATGCTACGATCCACCGCTGAGTTGCTTACTAACGTAGACTCATCCGCTGCTTGCTCTTGAGACGATTCATCAGTGATCTATTCACTAGCAAAATATACTGTTTGCGCAGCCTAATGCGTGCAGCTCTTCGAACGAACGAAAGCAATGTGCTTGGACGAGAGAACTGCAAGAGAACTGCGTCAGAGTCTCAGAATGCTGTTGAGAGTGGTAAGTCCAATGGTGAGGTGGATTGGGGAGGAATTGAGATAGAAGCAAGCACCTTGATTTCTCCGAGTTGAGTCTGTCTGACGCATTTAGTTTTCGCGCCAAAGCCCAAGGCGCGAACTCATCCTGTGCTACAGTAGGTTATGCTGTACCCTTCTGCTATTTCGATAGTAGCACACAGTAAAATATTACATCTCAGGTCCGTATAATTTTATGGAACTGTAGAACATTACAACAAATGCACAATTTGTAGTTCCAACACCGGATACACCTGTGGCTTGGGAGATTCCGTTCCATGCATATGGTGTGGGAGCAGTCAATAGAGACTGTCGCCGGCGAGCCGCATTGCCATGACTCGCTAGGCTACCGACGACGTTTGCTCTAGGTTTGCTGAACAATGTGACCTCGCTTTCGCCGGTGACGCGGATCACAAATATCCCGCCAAATTTGTACCAGTGGATTAGATCGAACGAGAGTTTCTGACAATGCCGCGGTCAGTTGCCACGTCAGCTCCGCGCTTTCCCGCATTTCTCTCCCGCCCTCCCCTCCCGCTCATCATCGGCGCGCTTTTCGCGCTGCTGCTCCTAGGGTTGTTCCTCTCTTCGCCGCCCACGCCGTCGCTACCGACAAGCGTTCCCGCCCATGACAGGCTGGCGAACTTCCACCCTGTCAGCGAGGTAAATGGTGGGACCGCGTAGGGGAAAGAGTACACAAGGACAGTAAGATGAGCTCGCAACAACCCCATTGTTGATGGTGGTGGTGAACAACCATCAGGTTCAGGATGTGACTGGAGGTGGTGATGGTGATGGTGGTGACAACAGTCACACCCCACCACAACCATCACCGGATCCGCCAACCCATCACCACCACCCCAGTCACACTCACTCCCGCCTCTGAGCTCCCTCCAGGTCCAGGCCCATTCCCTCATTCCCGGGAGTTTTTGAGAATTCTCAAACACTCACTCCCGCCTCTGAGCTCCCTCCAGGTCCAGGCCCATTCCCTCATTCCCGGGAGTTTTTGAGAATTCTCAAACACTCACTCCCGCCTCTGAGCTCCCTCCAGGTCCAGGCCCATTCCCTCATTCCCCCCTTAGCACCCACCCCTGCTCTCTACAAACCGCATCCCTCCCCTGCTTCTCACTCCCACCACGGCCAATTCCCCTCCCTCCTGGTTCGGTGGGCTATCAACAGGTGCGGCGATGTGACAGAGAAGAAATCCGGCCCGGCCCTCTCCCCCGTCCCCTCCCTTGCACCCGCCTTCTTCCCACGACTCACCTCATTCCAACCATTCCCACCGCTGCCCATTCCACCCGCCTTTCTTCTCTCTCCCCTCCAGGTGCGGTGGGCCATCATCGGGTGTGGCGATGTGACAGAGAAGAAGTCCGGCCCGGCGCTCGCCCTCATCCCGTCGTCTCGCCTCGTGGCTGTCATGCGCCGCAACGCCACCCTGGCTCAGGACTACGCCCAGCGCCACCACGTGCCCAGGTGGGGAATAGTAGGTGCTCTCTTGCGCTCCTGTAGGTGGGTGCAGGTGGGGGTGGGGGTGGGCAGGTGGGCAGGTGGGCAGGTGGGGGTTGGCGCTCGCCCTCATCCCCTCGTCTCACCTCGTGGCTGTCATGCGCCGCAACGCCACCCTGGCTCAGGACTACGCGCAGCGCCACCACGTGCCCAGGTGGGGGCGGGCAAGGGGTGGGCGGGCAAGGGGTGGGCGGGCAAGAGGGGGGGGTTGCAGCGCTCCAACCGATTTGGCAACGCTGCAGCGCCGCTTACTCTCGGTCGGCATTGCTCTGGCTGAATGGGGTTCATTTGTGCCTGGCCGCTTGCACATGGCAGGTGGTCAACGAACGCAGAGGAGACAATCAACGACGCCGATGTGAACGCTGTGTACATCGCCACTCCCCACCGATACCACAAGCAGTGAGTCGGCAGCAGCATGTGCTGAGTCGGCAGAATGCTGAGTCGGCAGAATGTGCTGAGTCGGCAGAATGTGCTGAGTCGGCAGAATGTGCTGAGTCAGCAAGTAATGAAAACACAAACCTCATGCACCAACCTCATGCACCAACCTCGGGCTATTTCTCGCATTCTTCCCTGCCGTGACTTGCCATACATTTCGCCTACTCTGTGCCTGCCACGTGGCATGGATGCAGATATGCCATCATGGCAGCGCGGGCAGGGAAGCCAGCCTACGTGGAGAAGCCAATGGGAATGAGCCACGTGGACAGCTCTGACATCCTCGCTGCCTTCCAGCGCGCCAAGCTGCCTCTCTTTGTCGCCTACTACCGCCGCGCCCTGCCCAACTTCCTCAGGGTGTGTGCTTAGAGTGTATCAACTGTATGGAGAACTCCTTAGGGTGTGACTAGAGCATGCCCCGATTCATTCACTGCGCACTGCCAAGCTGCCTCTCTTTGTCGCCTACTACCGCCGCACCCTGCCCAACTTCCTCAGGGTGTGTGCTTAGAGTGTATCCACTGTATGGAGAACTCCTTAGGGTGTGGCTAGAGCATGCCCCGATTCATTCACTGCGCACTGCCAAGCTGCCTCTCTTTGTCGCCTACTACCGCCGCGCCCTGCCCAACTTCCTCAGGGTGTGTGCTTAGAGTGTATCAACTGTATGGAGAACTCCTTAGGGTGTGACTAGAGCATGCCCCGATTCATTCACTGCGCACTGCCAAGCTGCCTCTCTTTGTTGCCTACTACCGCCGCGCCCTGCCCAACTTCCTCAGGGTGTGTCCCAAATCCGCCCTGACTGAAATGCGCCCTCTTTGTGCCTGACTGACATACGCCCCAAGTATATTACGAATAGAGCCGCCCTGTTTTTGTTACCCTGAGCGAATCACAGACACACCTTACCACCGCCGCGCGCTGCCCAACTTCCTTAGCGTGTGCTTGTTGGATTCCGGTGCCATAGGGGACATCCCGTCCGTGCAGGTGGTATACCACCGGCCACCCAACAAGGCCCACCCTCCCAACCCACCCAACCCTGCCACCCCCCTCTCTGCAGATCAAGGCCCTATTGGAATCTGGGGCCATAGGGGACGTCCTGTCCGTGCAGGTGGTATACCACCGGCCACCCAACAAGTACGACTACCAGTGGGCACTCAGCGGAGTCCCGAGTCAGAAGGAGCTGCAGACGATGCTGCAGCAACAGCAGCAGGAGAGAAGGGGAGGGAACGAGGAGGGGAGCGGAGCAAGGGAGCAACAGCAGAGGCAGTACCCGTACCGCCCGTTACCCCAGCACCACCCAGCAGGGGCGTCTCTGCACAACGCGACTCTCAAGTGGCGTGTGGACCCCCTGGTGGGCGGGCTTGGTGGGTACTTTCGGGACAAGGGCAGCCACCAGCTCGACCTGCTCGACTTCTGGTTCGGCCCTGTGGTGAGTGCGTGTGAGGAGGGGGAGTTGGGTGAGTGCGCCTTCGAGTCGACTCAAAACCCCTTCAGGGGCGTCTCTGCGCAACGCCTCTCTCAAGTGGCGTGTGGATCTGCTGGTGGGGGTCCTGGGTGGGTACTTTCGCGACAAGGGCAGCCACCAGCAGGACCTGCTCGACTTGTGGTTCGGGCCCGTGGTGAGTGCGTTTTGAGTCGACTCTAGACCCGGCAGGGGCGTCTCTACATAACGCCTCTCTCAAGTGGCATGTGGACCCCCTGGTGGGCGGGCTGGGAGGGCAGCCACCAGCTGGACCTCCTGGACGTCTCGTTCGGCCTCGTGGTGAGTGAGTCTGGGAATGGTGAATAGAACGGAATTACCCACTATTAGCCTGGAGTAACCTCCCCTTACAACCTGTGAATCACCCTTTCGTGTTGAAGCACGTGTTTCTTTCTTGCTTTCTTTCTTGCTTTCTTTCTTTCTTTCTTGCGTTCTTTCTTGCTTTCTTTCTTTCTTTCTTTCTTTCTTGCTTTCTTCCTTGCTTTCTTTCTTTCTTTCTTTCTTTCTTTCTTTCTTTCTTTCTTTCTTTTTCTAGAAAGCCACATGTCATTCAAAGTCTCCCCTCCCTTTCCTGGCTCCTGTACAGGTGGCAGTCTCTGGTTGGTCCACCAATCTTGCTGGCCTGTATCCATCCCCTGATACTGTCACGGCCCACTTCCGATTCGCCAACGGAATTGTTGGCACGGGCAGCTGGAATTTCGCAGCGGGCAAATCCAGCCAGCAGGAGTACGGCGAGATCACGGGCAGCTCGGGCAGAATAAAGTTCCAGTTTTTCCTGTCCAATAAGGTGGAGCTTTGGAACGACACGGGGCACTATGAGTGGGATGACCCGAGCCCAGAGCACGTGCAACAGCCGTTGCTGGCAACAGTAGTGTCAGCTCTTAGAGGTCAGGGGGAGTGCCCGAGTTTGGGAGAGAGTGCAATCCGAACGAGCTTCATCTTGGATAGAATTGTGAACGGGGAAAAGTGGCCGTGATAATGTATGGTTGCTGTGGATGCTGGATCCGCCGATTTTTCAACATTGTCCATACTTTTGGGGAGTGAGGGAGAGGAGGGAGGGGGGGGGGGGGGGGGGGGGGGGGGGGGGGGGGGGGCTGTGGTGGCTGGATTGGGCCATCAATTTGGGGAGGTGAGCGTTGGGTTAGCGGAAGGAATGGAGAAGGGGGGTAGGGGTAGAAGGTTTTAATAATCTTCGGGCATCAACGAGAGCATCAGTGGTTCACCCATAGCCTTATACATTATTGCAATCTCCCAGATGTACTATAACTCAAGCAACCCAACAGGAAGCTTGAAGGAATCTTCATACTCATGGGAAAGTTAGAAGCACCACAGGCATTTATATGGTTACTGACAAAGGTCAACTTTGGCAGCTGACTTGTATGACGAGTAAAACAAGTATTATTTCGTGACCTTTTGTCATGCTCCCAAATAGGAAGCGCTCAAGTTAGTTCACCATTCTTTGTGCAGCTGGCCTCCCACCCAACTTTGCAATTCAGGTTTCACACTTCAAGAGCAAAGCAACTACCGTATGACTCAACAAGGGTGTATATTGCATATCCCTTCGTTATACGGTAGGTACTGTTTTCGTTCATCGCATTCTTCCACTACCTCGTTATTGTAAAAAAACAAGAGCCGAGGCGCTTGTGATGTTTGTTTTGACAACTCTTTCACACTTCAGCTTCCTTGAGGCGGTGTGCTGTGTCTGCTGTCATCTCGCGTGCCATCCTTGTGGTGCGCTGTCACATTGCATGGTCGGAAACCTTGCAACTGTAGGCAGGCGGCTTCTTGAATCTAGCGCGCAATGAGTCGTCGTGTAGTGTTCTTTCAACAGTTTCCAACACGAGGCAGCCTAACAATTTTTGGGGGCTCGTTGTTTCTTCTTTCTTGTCAGTGCACAGTTCGCTCCGGTGTCGCAAAATTTGTTCTACTTTTTTTTTTTTTTTTTTTTTTTTTTGTAAGGGCGTGTCCGAAGTGAAACATCGATGGATGTCGCTGGATGTCGGTAAATGTCATCCCTCGGATCGACGGTTCCAAGCGTCAGGATTTACCGACATCCCCAAACGGATGTCGACGGATGTCGACGTTTCACTTCGGACACCCCCTAATCTTCTGCTTGACCCTCGGAAGCCGCTTTGGATGGGCCCTTCAAACTATCTTACACCTGAGAAAAGAGAACGAGAATGATTGGACTATGAAAGAGTTGGGTACAAGTACTAACCGTAATTGGGTTGTACCCCTTATGGGCTACCCCACTACAGCCTACACTAATGTATAAGCTATAATATTCTGACACACCCCCATAGGCGAAGTGGGGGAGAACAAGGGGTCACAAGACCAGTCAAGCAAAGTAAAGCAAAGCAAGCTCAGGGTGGATCACAAAATCACCACACATTCCGAGCACAAGTTCAAGGCCACAAGGCCAGTTCACATGCAGGATTATATATATATAAGGCTATACAAGCAAGAGCAGGTGTATATATATATGCAACAGTACAAACAAGGTCAAGGAGTGAGCAAGTGAGGCAAGGTAGGCACAAGACCCAGCTGAGTGCAGAAACGCTGATGATCACACGGCGGAAGTGCCTTGGTGAAAACATCAGCAGTGTTGGCCTCAGAGGCCACGTACGCAAGTCGCAACTGACCACGCTGCTGCAGCTCACGAGCAAGGAAGTAGCGGAGAGCAATGTGCTTCGTTCTATGCTCCAGTCTCTACTCTCGACACAAGGCCAGCATGGCCTTGTTGTCTACGTACAGCACTGGAGGAGAACGAGGCAGCTCTCCTAGGTCAGTCAGCAGGTAGGTGAGCCAGCGAAGCTCCTGAGCAGCCATGGCTCCTTCGTAGATCTCAGCCTCACACCTGGAGCCGAGAACGGAAGACGAGCGAGTAGCCCTCCACGAAACAGAGCCGGAACCAAGGCTGAAGGTGTAACCCTGTGACGACCGCTGCGTAGCCTGGTCGTCAGCCTAAGAAGCGTCTGCGTGCCTAGTGAGGACCACTGGACTCTGCCCTCCAAGCACAAGCCCCATGCCCGACGTACAACACAAGTAGCGCAACATCCTCTTCGCTGCAGCCATGTGCTCCGGTCTGTGTCTCCCAGGAGCAACATAGCGTGCAAGAATGCTAAGAGGGTATGCAAGGTCAGGTCGTGTGCAGGTCATCAGGTACATGAGGCAGCCAACAAGCTCTGGGTACGGGCCACTCGACTCTACGGACTCATCCGAAGGCAGAGCTGAGAGCGAGTGGCGAGTAGGCAGAGGAGTGGCCTGAGGCGAGGAGTACGTGAAGCCGAAGCGCTGAAGGACCTGCTGCACCATGTCTGACTGACTCAGGGTAATGGTGCGGCGTGCTCTGTCCCGGGTGATCTGCGAGCCAAGGTAGCTGCGCAGTTCACCCAGGTCTGTGCACGTGTGTCTCTTCTGCAGCTCGGACTTCACGTGGGTGAGTTTAGCAGTGTCAGCAGTGGCAAAGACCAAGTCGTCGACGTACACGAGGATGTAGAACGGCGGCAAAGAAGTGTCGGTGCGCAGAAACAGCGACCGGTCGGCAGTAGAAGGAGCAAACCCAAGAGCCGCAAGTGTAGTCCTCAGTGTGTCGTGCCACTCACGGGGCGCCTGGCGGAGACCGTAGACTGGCCGTCGGAGGCTCCACTGGGTGCCAGGGGGAAAAGACCCAGTGAAGCCAGGTGGGCGACGCAACCAAATCTCCTCGTGCACACTGCCCTGCAAGAAAGCAGTGCTGGAGTCAAGAGAGTGCAGCTCGTAGTCGCGGTGAGCAGCTATGTGCAGCAGTACCCGAAGAGTGGTCATCTTCGGGGTGGGAGAGAAGGTATGAAAGTAGTCAACTTCCTGCCGCTGACTGAAGCCACAAGCCACGTAACGTGCTTTGAAGACAAGCGGAGAACCCGGCGGCCGCTTCACCCTGAAAATCCACATGCCACTGACGATGTTCGCCCCAGGCGGGGGAACAGCGTCAACGTAGGTGCCTGTGGACTTCCAGGAAGCCATCTCTGCGTCCATAGCTGCCTGCCACTGAGAGGAGTAGGGACCCTCTATTGCCTCCACGTAAGAGCGCGGAGTCGGGATGTCAAGTGCATCCGGGTGTCCCTCAGGGGTAAGCAATACGGACACGAGATGAGGTGAAGAAGCAGCCAGACACTGGAACTCCTCCTGCTTGTCCTCAAGGACGTCCGTGCCAAGGGCACACTCACCCCCGACGGACGGAGGACAGACAGACTCAGTGACAAGACTAGCAGCGTGGTCTAGACGACAGCGAGCAGCAAAGTCGACGAGCTCAGCAACTAGGGCAGACGCAGCAGTGGACTCAAAGGAGGGGTCAGTGACGACAGTAGCAAGGAGACGCGTAACCGTAGGACTGGCAGCACAAAGAGAGTACGACTTCGGGTCGGCAAGAGCAGGAAGAGAGGACTCAAAAGGAGAAGGCAAAGGGGCACGCAGAGGAGCAGTGGACGGACGTAGAGACATCCGGTGCGTGCCAGGGACAGGAGGAGGACGCTGACGCGAACCATGACCACTAGTGCGAGCAGGACGGGTAGGCGACGCAGGGCGAGATGCAGGCTCACGACGCTCAGCAAGACCTCCAGTAGGACCAGAGTAGGGAGAAGGAGCAGGTAGTGGGAAGGACGGCTGTAACTGTAACTGTGATGGGACAGGCTGTGGACACTTTAAGGGAGGAGGAGGACCAGTAGAAGGCGGGAGACCAAGAACCTGCTGAAGGAGCGGAACGAAGTACGGCCGAGGCCGCGCGGCGACTCCAGACACTGCAGGGACAGCACTAGCACCCCCAGCGGCAGCACCAGCGCCAGGAGCACCTCCAGCTCCAGTACCTCCAGCAGCACCACTAGCACCCCCAGCAGGACCGCCTCTAGGACCGACAGCAGTAGCCTCAGCGCCAACACCCTCAGGAGCTCCAACTCCAGTCATACCCGCAAGCCCAGCAGCTCTAGTACTCCCAGTACGAGAACCTACGGAACCCGCGGCACCATCACCCTCAGCAGCCGAAGAACCTCCAGCTCTAGAAGTACGCCTTCAGCGCCGGGCAAACCACTCGCGCACCTCCTGTGGAGAGAGGGGCTCCCGTCGAGACGAAGCACCCGGAGAACCTCTAGGCCCAGCACCGCCAAACGCCACACGAGCAGGCCCAACTCCCTCAGGCTCCGCACCCCCAGGCTCAGCACCTCCAGGCGTAGTACCCCCAAGCTCAGGACCACTAGGCGTAGCATCCCCAAGCTCAGCACCCCCAGGCTCAGCACCCCCACTCGCAGCACCCCCAGGCTCAGCACCCCCAGTAGTAGCACCTGCAGGCTCAGCACCCCCAGGCGTAGCACCCACACGCTGAGCACCCCCAGAGTCAGCACCCCCAGGCTCAGCACCCTCAGCAGCACCAGAGTCACCAATAACCTCGACAGGCTCGACTACGTCTACCTGGGACACACCTGAAGAGGCAGGACCCTGAGGGGGGAGGGGGTCTACCCGGGGAAGACTTGGTTCAAGGAAGAGCGGGGGGGGGGGGGAGGGACGGAGTGCGGTAGGGGAAGAGGCGGGTAGTAGGGGACCGACTCGTCAAACGTGACGTCCTGGGAGGACAGAGCACGGCAAGAGGTGGGGTGGTGAACTGCCACCCTGGCGCGTTAGGGGGGAAGCCAAGGAAGACGCAAGGAGCAGCACGAGGGGACAGCTTGTCCGCGGACAAGTCGCGAACAAACGCTCGAGATCCCCAGACACCGAACGTAGACGCATCGCCAACCTTCCCCGTCCACAACAAAGCTGGGGAGGTCTCCGGCATGGAGACCCTGGGGTGAAGGTTGATCTTATGCGCCACGTACCGAACCGCAAACGGCCACAGAAAATGGAGGGCAGCCGCATGCATCATGGACGTACGAGCGACATCCATGACCATGCCAATGTGGCGCTCAGCAATCCCATTTTGCTGTGGAGAGTGCGGAAGCGTGAAGGTCTGGCGGATGCCTCGTGCACGACAGTAGGCTCGCAAAAGGCCAGAGGAGAACTCTCCGCCTCTGTTAGAGTGCAGACGCAGAACAGGAAAGTCCAAGCCGAAGCTCTGCCTGAGCTGGAGACGAGTTGCGCGGATCCAGTCGATCAACACCTCAGTGACATCACCCTTGCTGCGCAAGGGGAAGACTGTGGTGTAACGGGAGTAGTCGTCAACCACTAGCAGGAAGTAGCGCTCGTGACCCTGTCATCGGCACACGTCCATGTGAAGCGTCTGCAGCGGGGCCTCTGTCGGAGGAAACTGGGAGGAGTGAGGGGCAGCCCGCTGCCTTCCCTCGACACAGGGGACGTAGGTAGGGCCAGGCCCCTGAGGAAGGGGAGGGAGGGACCGGGGAAGACCAGAGACAAGGATACGGGAGGCCATGCTTCGGCGATGAAGCAGGGAGGGGTGACCAAGGCAGTGGTGCCAGAGGAGAGTCTCGTGAGACAGGAGGCGACACGAGCAGGGGGCAGACTCAGGACCAGACCTGGACGCTGTTGCAAACACCTGACCCGACGCAGCTAGCTGACCAGACGCAGTGACTGAAGGAGACGCAGTGGTCAATGTGTACAAGCTCGACCTCGGCCGACGTGTAAACGTGGCCAGGTGTCGGCCTGTCCGAGCGTCCGTGCAGTGGGTCACCCGCTGACTCGCAGGAGTGAACTGGTTAACCCCCGCATCCTGTAGGTTAGCACCACTCACCAAGTTCGTAGAGAACGAGGGGAGGTAAAGACCAGACAGGGTGCCAGAGGAGGCCGCCGGACACGGGAGGACAGTGGAGTAGTGAGCAAGGACAGGACCCCTAGAGGGGTCTGCCAGAGAGACTGCAACTAGCCGGCCAAGCGGCGTGAGTGTGGTGCGGTCTCGAAAGAAGGAGCGAGAAGCCCCCGAGTCAAGGGTGAAGGTGTGTGAGGCCAAAGCCGACACAGTACCTGTGAGAGCAGACTCACCAGCACCTGAGGGAGCAGACGCACGAGCACCTAGAGAAGCAGCCTCGCTAGCACCTAGAGCAGCAGCCTCACCAGTATCTAGAGCAGCAGTCTCAATGCCCGGGTCGGGCGGAAAACACCGGTAACAATCACCCTCATCCCTAATAGTCACAGCATACATGGCAGCAAGAATAGCATCAAAGTCAAGGTCAAAGACATCTACTCCCGCCCTAGAAAGCTCGCCCCAGCGGGGGATCTCAGTGGCCTCCGGGAACTGGTGACGCCAAGCGTCCGTCAGGCGGCCAAAGCAGCGTTGGGTGGAGTGCGCACCCCCGCACTGCTCAATTGCGCGGTCGCCGGTGCGGAGGACGTTGGTGCACGGACCAGTACCCCCACCCCGCTGGCGTGTAGCGTACCACTCACGAAGCTCCTGAGGGGGGGGGATGTCACGAGTGCGCTGCTGCTGCTGCTGCTGCTGGCGCTGACCACCACCGGAGCCGACCCTCTGCGCAGCGCCACCCCGACCAGCTCCACCTCCTTTGCCACCTCCTCCTCCATTGCCGCCACCTCCGCCACCTCCGCTCCCACCGCCACCGCCGCCGCCGCCTCCACTGCCGCCACCGACACCTCCACCCCCGCCACCACCCCCACCGCCACCCCCACCCCCTCCACCGCCTCCACCGCCTCCTCCACCGCCCCTGCTAGCTCCTCCAGCGCCCCTGCCCCCCTTGCCCTTGCCAGGGCGGCGTCTCCCGCTAGGGGTAGATGCCGCACTGACCGACTCAAGCCCAACAAGGTTGGCCGCAGCAGCAGAGGCAAAAGAGGGCAAAAGGGGGGAGGGTGAACACCCCTCAATGATGGGGGTGTTAGGGTCACCACGAGAGGCTCCTACAGCTACTATGCTCTTCTCTGCTGCTACGAGGGCCTTCTCGAGGAGGTCAACGATGAGAGTGGTGGGGAAAACTGATAGGAAGTGGTCCCTCACTACGCGAAGGGTGTCAGGGAGCCGGGTGACTATGTAGTAGAGGGTGATGTACCTGGGGAGGGGGGGGTTCTTGGCGCAGAACTCAGCCGGAAGCGCAGCGCGATAGCGAGTGTCACTAGTGCGGAGGTGCGTAATGAGGTCAGCGACTGTGGGAAAGGCAGCAAGGTCAGGGAAGAGGTACGGTAGTATGAGGCGGCTTAGTGCAGCAGTGGCAGGGGAGGAGTAGCGTGCAACTACAGCGTCGTACAAGGTCTGAGCACTCTTGTACTGACTAAAGTGCGCACGCTCAGAGGTAGGCAGGTGGCGACGCACAGCAAGACGTGCAAGCAGCATCGCGTGTGGCCTACTGTGAGCGAATATTGGTGTCGGCATCAGCAGCAGGGGCAGGAGAGGCACCAGAATTGAGGTCAAAGAGGGAGAGACCGTCTGCCCTATCGCACTGTAGGAAAAGTTGCAGGTCATCTACCCAGACGTCAAAGTCAATGGCCCGACCCTCAGCGTCAAAAGCGAGGACACTAGGGGTAGCCATCACAGCACTAGACTAGCAGCGCAAACAGTAGGGTAAGGGCAGTGCAGTGACAAAGGCGCTGCTCTTACCAGACAGGGCGGCCCGGGCGGCTCGGCGGCTCGAAACCTGGGCGGCTCGGCGGCTCGGCGACTGGGCGGCTCGGCGGCTCAGCTCGGGCGGCTCGGCTGCTCGGCGGCTCGGCTGCTCGGCGGCTCGGCTGCTGGGCGGCTACATTGCCGTGACCTTACAAGTTGCGGTTGTTTTGTCTGTTTCTGATGGCGCAAAATGTTTCGTGCGCGTGTCACGTTTTGTTGTTTACATGCAAAGTTTTTTTCGCCGCGTGTCGATCGCGATTTTCTTAGGGTACGTTCTTGGCTGGTGTCTGTCAGAATATTATCTTATTGTTCTAGCCTGTAGTGGGGTGCTCTATAGCGAGTACAACCCTTCTAGGGTTTGCTATTTGTATCCTCATTCTTGCTAGTTCAATCCTCTTTCTTTCTTCAAACTTTGACATGCTATCAGAGCAGGTCGATCCCCCTGGATCGATCCTGTGGGTGTGTCCCCACCTTGCTTCCGCTGCTAATTTTTCCTCCCGCCGTGCGCCCCGAGGCGCGCGGCGGTTTTTCTGCCCGCCGTGCGCCCCGAGGCGCGCGGCGGTTCATTGCCCGCTGTGCGCCCCGAGGCGCGCGGCGGGCTTCTCCCCTACGTCGCGGCCCCGCCCCGATTGTCGCGGCCCCGCCCCTTGACGCGGCCCCGCTCTACGTCGCGGCCCCGCCCCGGCCCGTCGCCGCCCGTGCGCCTGCCCGGCTCGGCCCCGCCCTTCGTCGCGGCCTCGCCCCGGCCCGTCGCCGCCCGTGCGCCTGCCCGGCTCGGCCCCGCTCTACGTCGCGGCCCTGCCCCGGCCCGTCGCCGCCCGTGCGCCTGCCCGGCTCGGCCCCGCTCTACGTCGCGGCCCCGCCCCGGCCCGTCGCCGCCCCTGCGCCTGCCCGGCTCGGCCCCGCCCTACCTTCGCGGCCCCGCCCAACGTTGCGGCCCCGCCCTATGTCGCGGCCCCGCCCTACGTCGCGGCCCCGCCCTATGTCGCGGCCCCGCCCCGACCGTCGCGGCCCCGCCCCTCGTCGCGGCACCGGCCCCCCCCCCCCCCCCCCCCCCCCTTTCTCCCCTCCCCCCCATTTCCCGTCGTCCGTCGAGGCGACCCGAGGGGCGAGCTGTGGGGTGGCGGGTATGGGGGTGGTCGGTGTGCCTTCCTCCCTTTCTCCTCCTCCTCCTTCGTCTCCCACTGCTGCAGCTGTCGCTGAGGGGGGTGGTTGTGTGGGAGACTGGGTTTAGGGTTTAAGGGGGGTGCGTGGGAGTAGAGCTAGTGGTGTAGCAGTGGGTGTGTATTAGGGGGGTGGGACTGTGTGTGGGAGGATGAGCGGAGGTTGCCAGTTTGTCGTCAGCAGCACCTGTAGTCCGGGGCGCTGTCCCGGTAGCCCAGTCGTAGCCAGCTGTGCCAGCCGCCCGTGGGTCCGTTGCCCGTCCGCCGCTATTTGAGCCGCGGGGCCTGTTACTCCTGTAGTCCGGGCGCTGTCCGGTAGCCGCTGTGCCAGTCTGCCTCCTGTTGCCCGTGTGTCTGCAGCTTCAGCCGTCGCCTCCTGTCTCCTCTCCCCTCACTCTCCCTCCTCCTCCTCACTTGCCCGTTGTGACTACCACTACCTTTGCTTATAATTGTGAACTCTAAACTATTTCTTCTTGAACTTGTGCTCAGAATGTGTGGTGACATTGTGATCCACCCTGAGCTTGTTTTGCTTTGCCTGCTCTGCTGATTACACCCCACTTTGGCTATGGGGGTGTGTCAGAATATTATCTTATTGTTCTAGCCTGTAGTGGGGTGCTCTATAGCGAGTACAACCCTTCTAGGGTTTGCTATTTGTATCCTCATTCTTGCTAGTTCAATCCTCTTTCTTTCTTCAAACTTTGACAGTGTCAAGCTTCGGGTTATAGGTAGTTTTGACACGATGCTGAGTAGACCGGCTTTGAGTCAGCAACATTCAAGCGGTGGGCGAATTTTTCGCCATGGTAATCCGCCCAACTTGACTGTCGTCAAGTCTCATAGGCACGTTCACACCAATGAAAACGAGGTCGTGCGACTACGCGAAGTGTTTACGACTAGTCCGCACATTGCGATGTCGCAAAAACCTGCTGAGTGCGCGACTTGTTTTCTCGTTGCGACATCGCAAACGCGCATCAAAATCGCACAAACGATTGCGTGGAACCAACCTGTTGGGGTTTCGCGCCTCGTTTTCTGCCACAACATTGCAATTGTCAACATCATCGCCACAATGGTCAAGTACAAAACCTCAGCCAAGGAGGGAACATATGGTACTTGAAGCTTAAATATTTTCTAGTCCTAACAAGCATAACCTCCAGCAACCTTTCCATGGCGCCTCGTTCCAGCAAGAAAGGCAAGGCCAAGGTTAACGATGACACGGAACCCGAACCTCCGCAGGATCATCCGTACATTGTTTGGATGCGCCAGCAGTAGGCCGAAGGGTTTGAGCGTGGACGAATTCGTCGTGAAGCATGTATTCCGCCATCCTCAGCTCCAGGGCCGTCCCGTGTTGCCGCGCCCGCACCATCTGTCGGAAATGTCAACTTCGGCTCGGAGGATGAATCGTCGGCGTCCCCGTCAGACTCAGACACGGACCTGGAAGTTGAGAAGGACGACGATGAGGGTGACGGTGGCGTTACGCCTAGCGGGTCCAAGAAGAGAGGTGCGCAGAAATCGTCCAAGAAGGTTGGTCAGAAAGTGCGGAAGCGCACCCCATGGACCATGGAAGAGATGGCTGCATTAGCTGCAGCGAGATGGTACACCAGGGAGGATATCAAGCAGATGCAAGGTAAGCAAGGTGCGCAGTTTTCGAAGAAACTCCGTCAGCATATGCGCAAGGCGTATCCGAACTGGATTCGTAGGAGCGAGGCTATGAAGTAGTGTTGGAAGAGGCTGGAACTGGAATACGAAGACATATGTGAGGCAATCCAGATGTCGGGCGCCGGTAACATGGCGAGGCCCGACCGGTTCACTTTCATGGACGACCTGAAATGTGGAACCGCAGCAGTGAACCCACATGTGGTGGATGGCGGAGGAGCTGGGATGCGGACAGCGGATCCTATGATGACCATACCCCGAGTTGGAGACCTCCCTGCAACTCAAGACCCCAATGGTGAGCTTTGAAGGACATATTGCTATTAACATTGCTGTTTGATAATCCGGTTTAGCAATTTCATTACGACAATCCATTACTAAATTGCAGTCATGACACAAATGCTCAGGCCCAGCCACAGGCCACAATCCCTCCCAAGCACCCCGAGGCACCAACACAACACATGGTGGGAACGCCATGCCAAGGAAGTGTGCCCATGAAACAGCCACCATCCAGGGTGCCTCCATGATCTCTAGCACTATGCGCCAATGCAATGCCTCTGGTGTTGCCAAGATCGACGAGCTTATCAGGATCATCATTGCCGCACTTGGCGCCCAAGTAGCAGCCAACCAAGCGGCCAGCCAGTTCATAAATAACTATGCCCCTGCCCCAGGCCCGGGACATCAGCAAGCCCCAAGTACCATGAACGACACCACCGGTCACCCTTTAGGTGGTCGCGCTGCTGAAGAGGCAGTGTCTGCAGAAGAAGACTGCGAGGATGGACTGGATGTCACCAATGAGTACCTCAACGAGGACGATGAGTAACCCAGCCCGATTCCGAGCACTAGCGGCAGTGACGTTTCTTGCAGGCCTCATGGATAGCCTTTCTGAACCTTTTTCGCCTTTCTTGCCACTCTTCAGAAGTAGAATTGGGAGTAGTCTCCCACACATAGTCCAGCATGCTTTCTCTTGTCCACCACTTGTTCACGTCCCCATTCTGGTCTAGGTCGTCAGTGTCTATGTAGCTCTCCCGTCTGCCATCAATCAGTGTGTGCATGTTATGTAAGATGATTATGCACCCCGTTCCTGCACAAACCCGCCACAAACGACACTCACTACGACGACTAATGAGTCTCCAGCGCTGCTTGAGCTGCCCAAACGAGCGCTCAACAGCCATCCGAGTTGCACTCTGCACGTAGTTGTAATCTTGTTCCCATTCCTTCATTAGCCGCGCCGTGGTCGCATGGAGGGGTGTGAGGCAGTAATCACGTAATGGATATGCGGCATCGCCAACAAGTTGGTAAGGCGAAAGATCCCCATTTGCCGTGCGAGTATACAAGTCGCTCTTGAAGAACACACGGCAGTCATGGGCAGAGCCTGGGAAACCTACCAAATCATCCCAAATAACCCCAGCCGCGTTACATTTCGCCTGCAGCACCACACTGTATGCCTGTTTCCTGTTAAAATACTCTGCCCTATGATCCTCCATTCCCTGAATCAGAATATGAGAGCCATCGACAGCCTCTATCACGTTAGGAACACCTTTTATGTCTCTGAACTCTTTCTCCCAGTCAGCCATTTCCTCTCTAGTAGGAAAACGAACACACGATGACTTGAAATAGCGTGGAAACTCAACTAAAAAGACATCCACTATTGCATGACATAAGGTTCTAGTAATTCCGAAAAAGTAGGACATGTCTAGGAACGTCATTGCGGTGGCGAAATATTTTATCGGCACCAAACAACAGATTTCAAGAGGGATGTCATGACGCATCACAATGTTTGCGTAAGCTATTCGCATACCTTCAGCCACTACGCAGAGCACCTTGCGTGAGATACGGAAAAGGTTCGCGAACTCGATATCAGACATGTCGGCAATCTCACAAGCCCACATCTTTACGTTCACGCGTCTTCTCTTGCGAACTCTAATACGCCTTAAGACGGTCGGATTGAAATTGAACCTAGCTCCCGTACGGTCTCGCGGAGGTGGATTTTCTGCTACGAATTGCACCCACTGTTCTGCTCCAGCATTAAGGGCGACGGTGAGACACTCAAAATAGTAGACAATAACTAGTAGGGCGACTAAAGCGAATAATAACGCCACACCATGTGGAGGAGCCATGGCGTTCACTAGACTACAGTACCTACTCTACGTTTATTGGGAAGTAGTAGACAAGTGTGTTCTTTATGCGTTGGTGGTCGCGTGAGTTTGGTGGTGATGAAATTGCAGCTGTGAGGGGTTTGTGTCAGAACATTATAGCTTATGCTTTTGTGTAGGCTATAGTGGGGTATCCCATAGGAGGCACAACCCAATTAGGGTTAGTACTTGTACCCACTTCATTCATAGTTCATTCATTCGCGTTCACTTTTTCACATAGAATCAGAGCAGGTCCCCTCCTAGGGACTGTTCCCAGGGCCCACCGAAGCGCGCCCCGAGGCGCGCGTTCCTTTTTTTTTTAGCGACCCTCCGTGTCGCCCCTAGCGGCCCGGTACGCCGCCCTTACCTACGCGGCCCCGCCGCCCTTACCTGCGCGGCCCCGCCGCCCTTACCTACGCGGCCCCGCCGCCCTTACGTCGCGGCCCCGCCGCCCTCACGTCGCGGCCCTGCCGCCCTCACGTCGCGGCCCCGCCGCCCTCACGTCGCGGCCCTGCCGCCCTCACGTCGCGGCCCCGCCGCCCTCACGTTGCGGCCCCGCCGCCCTTACGTCGCGGCCCCGCCGCCCTCACGTCGCGGCCCCGCCGCCCTCACGTCGCGGCCCCACCGCCTCACCTTCGCGGCCTCGCCGCCCTCACCTTCGCTGCCCCGCCGCCCTCACCTTCGCGGCCCCGCCGCCCTTACCTACGCGACCCCGCCGCCCTTACCTACGCGGCCCCGCCGCCCTTACGTCGCGGCCCCGCCGCCCTCACGTAGCGGCCCCGCCGCCTCACCTTCGCGGCCCCGCCGCCCTCACGTAGCGGCCCCGCCGCCTCACCTCCGCGGCCCCGCCACCCTCACCTACGCGGCCCCGCCGCCCTCACCTTCGCGGCCTCGCCGCCCGTGCCTACGCGGCCCCGCCGCCTTCTCCTACGCGGCCCCGCCGCCCTCACGTCACGGCCCCGCCGTCCACACCTTCGCGGCCCCACCGGTTTCCCCTCCTGCCGAGCCGCCCGAGCAGCCGCCCGCCACGCCGCCCGGTACCGGAGCAGCCGAGCCGCCCAGCAGCAGCCGCCGGGCCGCCTGGCCGCCGAGCCGCAGTTCAGCCGAGCCGCCCAGCAGCAGCCGCCGAGCCGCCCGGCCGCCGAGCTGCAGCACAGCCGAGCCGCCCAGCAGCCGTCGCCGAGCCGCCGGACCGCCGAGCCGCAGTACCGCCGAGCCACCCCGCTACCGAGCCGCCCGACCAGCCCTGTCTGGTGAGCACAGCCCCACTGCTACTGCGTGCCCTTCCCCCCACTGCTTGCACTGCTAGTCTGTCGTCATGGCTACCCCTAGTGTCCTCGCTTTTGACGCTGAGGGTCGTGCCATTGACTTTGAGGTCTGGGTCGACGACCTGCAGCTGTTTTTACAGTGCGATAGGGCGGACGGTCTTTCTCTCTTTGACCTCACCTCTGGCGCCTCCCCTGCTCCTGCTGCTGATGCTGACCCCACTTTTGGCTCTCAGTGGGCCACCCGCGATGCTGCTGCACGTCTTGCTGTGCGTTGCCACCTGCCTACCACTGAGCGCGCGCACTTTAGTCAGTACAAGAGTGCTCAGACCTTGTACGACGTTGTAGTTGCGCGCTACTCTTCCCCTGCCACTGCTGCACTGAGCCGCCTCATGCTACCGTACCTCTTTCCTGACCTTGCTGCCTTTCCTACAGTCGCTGACCTCGTCACGCACCTCCGCACTTCTGACACTCGCTACCGCGCCGCACTTCCTGCTGAGTTCTGCGCCAAGAACCCCCCCCCCCCATGTACATCGCTCTCTATTACATAGTCACTCGCCTCCCTGACACCCTTCGCGTAGTCAGGGACCACTTCCTCTCAGTCTGTCCCACCACCCTCACTGTCGACCTCCTCGAGAAGGCCCTCCTAGCGACGGAGAAGAGCATAGTCCATGTAGGAGCCTCTCGTGGTGACCCGCGCACCCCCATCTTTGAGGGGTGTTCTCCTTCCCCCCTGCTGCCCTCTGTTGCCTCTGCTGCTGCTGCCGACCTGCTTGGTCTTGAGTCGGTCGGCGCGGCGTCTGCTCCTAGCGGGAGACGCCGCCCTAGGAAGGGCAAGGGGGGCAAGGGCGCGGGTGGAGCTGGCGGGGGCGGTGGAGGTGGCAGTGGCGGTGGCGGAGGGAGTGGGGGTGGCGGTGGGAGTGGTGGTGGGGGTGGTGGTGGTGGTGGCGGCAGCGGAGGCGGCGGCGGTGGCGGCGGAGGCGGTGGGAGCGGAGGCGGCAGTGGTGGCGGAGGTGGAGGCGGCGGTGGCGGAGGAGGTGGAGCCGATTGGGGTAGTGCCCCGCAGCGGAGCGGCTCTGGTGGTGGTCAGCGCCAGCAGCAGCAGCAGCAGCAGCGTTCTCGGGACATCCCCCCGCCTCAGCAGCTACGTGAGTGGTACAGGCAGCGTCAGCGTGGTGGGGGTCTTGGCCCGTGCACCTACGTTCTTCGTTCCGGCGACCGCGCGGGTGAGCAGTGTGGGGGTGCCCACTCCACCCAGCGCTGCTTTGGCCGCCTGATGGACGCTTGGCGTCAGCAGTTCCCCGAGGCTAGTGAGATTCCCCGCTGGGGAGAGCTGTCTAGGGCTGGCGTAGCGATCTTTGATCTTGACTTTGATGCTATCCTTGCTGCCATGTATGTTGTGACTATTAGTGATGAGGGTGACTGTTACCGGTGTTTCCCGCCTGACCCGGGCATTGGTACTGCTGCGCTAGGTGCTTGTGAGGCTACTGCTCTAGGTGCCAGTGCGTCTGCACTCTCAGGTACTGGTGAGGCTGCGCTCTCAGGTACTGCGTCGGCTTCGGCCTCCCTCACCTTCACACTTGACTCAGGGGCTTCTCGCTCCTTCTTTCGAGACCGCACCACACTCACGCCGCTTGATCGGCCGGTTGCAGTCTCCCTGGCTGACCCCTCTGGGGGTCCTGTCCTCGCTCACTTCTCCACTGTCCTCCCGTGTCCGGCTGCCCCCTTGGGCACCCTGTCGGGTCTGTACCTCCCCTCGTTCTCGACGAACTTGGTGAGTGGTGCTGACCTGCAGGATGCGGGGGTTCACCAGTTTACTCCTACGAGTCAGCGAGGGACCCACTGCTCGGACGCCCGCACAGGCCGACACCTAGCCACGTTTTCGCGTCGGCCCAGGTCGAGTCTCTACACCCTGACCACTAAGTCTCCTCCTGTCCTTGCGTCTGGCCAGGTAGCTGCGTCGGGTCAGGTGTTTGCTGCTGCGTCCAGGTCTGGTCTTGAGTCTGCCCCCTGCTCGTGTCGCCTCCTGTCTCACGAGACTCTCTTGTGGCACCACCGTCTTGGCCACCCCTCCTTGCCTCGTCTTCGGGGCATGGCTTCCCGTGTCCTTGTCTCTGGTCTCCCGCGGTCTCTCCCTCCCCTTCCTTCGGAGCCAGGACATTCCTGTGTCCCCTATGTCGAGGGGCGGCTCCGGGCTGCCCCTCACTCCTCCCATTTTCCCCCGACAAAGGCTCCTCTGCAGACGCTTCACATGGACCTGTGGGGCCCGGCCCGCGTCCGTGGACAGGGTCACGAGCGCTACTTCCTGCTGGTGGTTGACGGCTACTCGCGTTACACCACGGTCTTCCCCTTGCGCAGCAAGGGTGATGTCACTGGGGTGTTGATCGACTGGATCCGCGCAGCTCGTCTCCAGCTCAGGAGGAGCTTCGGCTCGGACTTTCCTGTTCTGCGTCTGCACTCTCACCGAGGCGGAGAGTTCTCCTCTGGCCTTCTGCGAGCCTACTGTCGTGCACGAGGCATCCGCCAGACCTTCACGCTTCCGGACTCTCCACAGCAAATAAGATTGCTGAGCGCCGCATTGGCATGGTCATGGACGTCGCTCGTACGTCCATGATGCATGCGGCTGCCCCCCATTTTCTGTGGCCGTTTGCGGTTCAGTACGCGGCACATCAGCTCAGCCTTCACCCCAGGGTCTCCCGGCCGGAGACCTCCCCAGCTCTGCTGTGGACGGGGAAGGTCAGCGATGCGTCTGCGTTCCGTGTCTGGGGATCTCGGGCGTTTGTCCGTGACTTGTCTGCGGACAAGCTGTCCCCTCGTGCTGCTCCCTGTGTCTTCCTAGGCTTCCCCCCTGACGCCCCAGGGTGGCAGTTCTACCACCCCTCCTCTCGTCGTGTTATGTCCTCCCATGACGTCACGTTCGACGAGTCCGTCCCCCTTCTATCGCCTCTTCCCCTACCGCACTCCTTCCCTCCCCCCGCCACCGCACTTCCTTGTGCCAGGTCCCACCCCGGTAGACCCCCTTCCCCCTCAGGGTCCTGCCCCTTCCGGTGTGTCCCAGGTAGATGCAGTCGAGCCGGTCGAGGTTGCTGGTGACTCAGGTACTGCTGGGGGTGCTGAGCCTGGGGGGTGCTGAGCCTGAGGGTGCTGCCTCTGGGGTTTTGAGCCTGGGGGTGCTGAGCCTGGGGGTGCTGCCTCTGGGGGTGCTGCGCGCGGGGTGCTGAGCTGGGGGTGCTGCGTCTGGAGCTGCTGAGCCTGGAGGTGTGGAGCCTGCGGCCACTGGACCTCCCCTTGTGGCGTCCGGCGGTGCTGGGCCTGGAGGTTCTCCGGGTGTTTCGTCTCGGCGGGAGCCACTCTCTCCACAGGAGCTGCGTGAGTGGTTTGCTCGCCGCTGGGAGGCGTACTGCTGGAGCTGGCGCTTCTTCGACCGCTGAGGGTGCTGGTGCCGCCGCTCCCGGAGCTGCTGGGCCTGCGGGTCCGCCTGGAGCTGGAGCTGCTGAGGGTGTTGGTTCTGAGACTACTACTGTCAGTCCTGGTGGTGGTCATGCTGCGGGTGCTGCTGGTGCTGCTGGAGGTCCTGCTGCTGGAGGTGCTGTTGGCACTGGTGCTGCCGGAGGTGCTGAGGGTGCTGGTTGCTGTCCCTGCTGTGTCTGGTGCTGCCGCGCGGCCTCGGCCGTACTTTGTTCCGCTTCTCCAGCAGGTTCTTGGTCTTCCTCCTCTCTTTAGAGTGTCCACCGCCTGTCCAGTCGCAGTCACAGTTACCTCCGGCCTCCCCACTGCCTTCTCCTTCACCTTACACTGGTCCTACTGGAGGTCTTGCTGAGCGTCGTGAGCCTGCGTCTCGTCCTGTGTCGCTTGTTCGTGCGGCTCGCACTAGTGGTCGCAGTTCGCGTCAGCGTCCTCCTCCTGTCCCTGGCACGCACCGGATGTCTCTGTGTCCGTCTACTGCTCCTCTGCGTGCCTATTTGCCCTCTCCTCCTGAGTCCTCTCTTCCTCCGCTTTGCCGACCTTGAGTCGGACTCTCTTCGTGCTGCCAGTCCTACTGTCACGCGTCTCCTGCTACTGTCGTCACAGACCCCTCCTTTGAGTCCACTGCTGCGTCTGCTCTTGTTGCTGAGCTCGTCGCCTTTGCTGCTTGCTGTCGTCTAGACTACGCTGCTAGTCTTGTTGCTGAGTCTGCGTCTGTTTGTCCTCCGTCCGTCGGGGGTGAGTGTGCTCTTGGCTACGGACGTCCTTGAGGACAGGCAGGAGGAGTTTTAGTGTCTGGCTGCTGCTTCACCTCATCTCGCGTCTGTACTGCTTGCCCCTGAGGGAGACCCGGATGCACTAGACATCCGGACTCCGCGCTTACGCGGAGGCCGTAGAGGGTCCCTACTCCTCTAGGGGGAGGCAGCTATGGATGCAGTGATGGCTTCCTGGAAGTCCACAGGCACCACGTTGACGCGGTTCACCCTCCTGGGGCGAACATCTTCAGTGGGATGTGGATCTTCAAGGTGAAGCGGCCGCCGGGCTCTCCACCTGTCTTCAAGGCGCGGTACGTGGCTCGTGGCTCAGTCAGCGGCAGGGAGTTGACTACTTTCAGACCTTCTCTCCCACCCCGAAGATGA